AGTTTAGCCGTACTAAAGGACGGCTAGACTGTCAGGCTAGCTGTACTTAATATTGATGGCTGAACTGTAAATGACATTTTTTAGTTTGCAATGCCTAAAGTACAAAACCAAAAGGTGCCTTACTGACTTGCATGTATTTGAACCTGAATAATTACTAGATCTAGATCTAATGAGACCTGTGTACTTAACAGGCTTGAGTCGATAGGGCCAAACCTAGATCTAAGTACGGCTAGACTGGCAGTCTAGCTGGGCAAGCCACTTCGTTTATATAAATTTACTTACTCAGTTCAACTGTAGTCTGTAGAGTGATTTTGTAGTTTAGTTCGTTACAGTCCAATGCTGAACGCCAGAGCCCAATTATTATTCACTGGTTTGGGCCCCTCGAGTCAAAGAGTAGGGGGGGGGGGAGTTCATAATAAAAGCTTGGGAGGGTTCAAGGGTTTCAGGGGCCCCCCTGATTTTACCATAATTTGATGTTTTGCCGTTAGGTTGCTGCGTCCCTGTTCTTTGTGTTGCCTATTATTTGGTCGTCAAGACTTTACGGATTTCTTCTCTGGATGTAAACAAATGGATTGTGGACTTTAACGAACGGAACTACAAGATCAACGTCTGTAGTTGTCTATGAAAGTGAAGGGAGGCCTATTTATGTTCAGGCTATCTCCCAATTCTATTTAGATCCAGATCTAGGTAACATGAAGCTAAGAGAACCGAGATCTAGCATACCTCTGTGATTGGCCCAAATATAGATGATGTATTTTTGCCATTTATTTTTGTCGTCTTCCGGGATTTCCCTAAGACTCTTGCAGTGTCTGTTTTAAAAAAAAATTAATTTGTGTTACTTGAAGCTGCTGCGAGCGCCTAGCACACCTCTGTCCAAATATAGATGAAGTATTTCTGCCATCTATTTTTGTAATTTTACTGGGCGTCCCTCGCCAGTTGACAAGATTTCATGTATTTGGTTGTTTTTTTATATCAATCTCAGCAATTTTCATTCCATAAATCTACCTTCGCCTCTAAGACTTAGACTAAGTTGTACGCACAAGCACGTGCACACACACACACACAAAATAACATCATGTACACACTCACACACACAAGCGCGCGCACACACACACACTCACACATACACAGCCCAAGCAGTCGGCGATGAAACCTAGTGGCATAGCCCATCGCGAGCTACGCGGCAAAACGGGCCTGCTACGGTGAGATCTAGTCAATGGCGAGGGAAGCCCCGGAAGACGACAAAAGTAAATGGCAGAAATACATCATCTATATTTGGGCCAATCACAGAAGAGGTGTGCTAGGTGCTCGCTGTAGCTCCATGTATCTAGATCCAGTAATGTAGTCCAATGGAATGTCGGTTAAGTCGGGAGGACTTCCGTAATGAGCATCCACTATGAGACAGAGTAGAATAGATGTAGAGGGCTAGGGTTAGGTCTCTTCTTTACATGAAGTTTCATGTAGCACACCACTGTGATTGGCCCAAATATACTTGATGTATTTCCGCCATCTATTTTTTTCGTCTTTCGGGGGGTTTCCCCCAAGACTCTTGGGTTTCCCTCGCCAGTAACTGTTGACTAGATCTCTTTTTTTTTTTTTTTTTTTTTGGTATGAATTTCCTGTTTTAATCTTTTATAAACAGTCTCAGCAATTCCCGTTCCATAAATTTACCTTCTCCTCAAAGTTGTACACACACACACACACACTTGCCACGGTGAGATCTAGTCAGCTGGCGAGGGAAGCCCTGGAAGACGACAAAAATAGATGGCGGAAATACGTCATCTATATTTGTGCTAATCACAGAGCTGTTCTAAGTGCTCGCTGTAGCTTCATTTCTTCTTTGTTGTGTTTGTTGGGGTGGTCGTTCGTTATGGAAGTCCTTCCATAAAGTCTTTTCAATCAACTTTTAAACGCTAGATGTCTTAACACATTATACCCTAAGTGTCTGGCCGGAAAGTCCATTCCTAGATCCTAAGCAAGGAGAATACAGGCGTTTAAAAAACACATTAAAAAAAATCTAAACAAATTCCCAAAATCTTAAAAAAATGAAAATTAAAAAGAAAACGAATGTAGTTTCAGAAAAATATAACTTTATGTATACGCAAAGTGTTGGAAATGTACTTTAGTTAAATTGGGGTGTCCGACCCGTCATTCTCACTCTCAGCCTCGCGGTCTGGGCCCTAGATCTAATCAATCTTAATCGGCCCATCCTAAGCAAGGTGAAGGAACCCCCCTCCCATGAATACAGGCGTTTAAAAAACACATTTTAAAAATCTAAACAAATTCCCAAAATCTTAAAAAAATAAAAATTAAAAAGGAAAACGAATATATAGTTTCAGAAAAATAACTGTATGCACAAACTGTTGGAAATGTACTAACTTTAAGTTAAATTGGGGTGTCTGACCCGTCACTCTCTCTCAGCCTCACGGTCTGGGCCCTAGATCTGATTAATTTTAATCACCCCAAACTCTTGCTACGTTTTCATCAAAATCTGAGTCAACTGATTTGTCATAATGCTTGTTTTTGCTCAAATCCATCGTTACTTCCTTTTTCGAACTCAATTATGTCGCTTTTCAACAAGTCCAGATACCTTCGAAGTGTAGGTAACGTGATCGCTTTTCGATCGGCTCTACTAATACTAAAACTACTGGCCCTAAAAATTTTGTTTCGGTATCAAACGGAAGAAGAAACTTTTTCCACTAACTATGCAAATCAAAATTTCGTCCCCAGGGTCTCGTCAAGGCGAGACTTCGTTTCTAAAGACGCTCCGCTAGGTCAGCGCGGGTGGTTCCGGGCGAGTTAGGGTTGAGTGCGTAAGGAAATTCACGGGCGAGTTAGGGTGTAATCATAATGTGTTAGGTTATTCTCAGTAATTTACGGCTAGCCTGAGAGTCTAGCCGTACTTAATTAAGTACGGCTAGACTGCCAGTCTAGCGGTACTTAGATAGGTTTGGCCCTATCGACTCAAACCTGTTGAGTACACAGGTCTCATTAGATTTAGATTCTAGATGTAGTTATTATTCAGGTTTAACCCTCTGCGTGCGTATCACGACCACTGGTCGTGATGACTCATCCTCCCTTCCGCGGTCATCGCAATCACCGGTCGTGATCCGACATGAGTGTTGTAACTATACCGCTGACATGAGAATAACCATTTTTTAAACTGCTGGTGACTACAGTCCACTAGTGCAATTAATTAGTGCCGCTGGCCGCGCATTTCGCAGTCAGGGATAGGTTGGAAGTTTTTTATCGGCAATTTTCTAGGATATTGTTTACAGTTTTCAAAATAACAGATTCATCAGCTGTCATTAAGTACGGCTAGCCTCCTCATTAAATCTAACTGTCAATTTTTGACTGTGTCCTTTTTGGAGGACTTTTGTAACAAGCGAGCACTAGATGAGTATGAGACATGAGTAGAATAGAGGGGTAGGAGTACAAGTTGGGTTAGGGTTAGGTCTCTTCTTTACTGTGTTTTTTAGGGTGATCACTTGTTACGGAAGTCCTTCCTTCCTTTTTATGATTTAGGCGTATTTTTTTTAAAGAAGTTACTTTATTATTGTTAATGATACCATTCCCATTCCTTTTTTGTATCTGCCCCATGCCCACACATGATCCTGTCTTGACCATAGCCCCTGGTCCTGTATATTTGCACCCCTACCACTTTCAGCTTGTTTATCCTCACATCACTGCAGGTCCCGTAGGCATGTCTATGTTACTATGTAGCAGGCTTGCCAACCTTCTCGAATTTTTGGGAAATTCTCGAATTGCCATCGTCGTTCCCAAACCTTTCCCAAAGCGGCATCTCTCTCTCTCTCTGTTTCTCCACTGTTGTGTTAGAGCTGTTTTTGTGGTGTGGATGTTTTTTTTAGTAGCTTTAGTAGCCTGTCACAGAAGTGTGTGTCTGTGGCACTTTGGCGCAATCAAAATTCCAAAATTCAGTATCTCAAAAGTTGGCAAGCCTGATGTAGGCCTCTATGCATTATTTGGCTTGCATGAGCTGCCTATCCTTCTGGTCCAGTTGAGTAAATAAGCACTAAGTGTGTCAAGCTTGTGCGCATCAGTTGCTTCAATATAGGTATTTAGGCCTATGTCAGAACACCACGTGACAACACATTATACACGGGAGTGAAAGTAAAAATTTACCGGATGGATATTTTTCTGTCCGTTTGGCAATTCTTAACCCTTCCAGCCCCTTGCACATACGTTATATTTTCAGCAGCGCTTATAACTCCCACCATCCAAAATATATATTCTCAGTTTCTGGGAGTATCGATGTGGTTTAGGGAGTACACAAAAATGACTCGGGCTGGAAGGGTAAAATCAATTTTTTTGTTTTGGGCTCAATGTCTACTTCAAAACCAGCATTCCGCGTGGCTTTTTGAGAAACAGGGGACAAGGGCACAGAAAATGTAAATTTCCGTGTTCCACGGACACTGCAGCTTTAGAACTTTCCTTAACTTTGGTCGCTATTTTCATATTACTTTGCCTCTGCTACCTCCTTGATAAGTATCTCAACTTCTAATTCAAGGTAAATGGGTATTTTCTTCATCAGTAGCACGGCAAATGAGCAGGAGTGGGTGGTTGACAGGTGCTTTGGACACTTTGGTGTTGTTTGCTTCTTCTTTCCTATCAAACATCTCTATTGTCTTTATCTCCCCTCCTTCTTTTTTGTGTTTGTTATTCTCTTGTAACACCTCTAAATCTTCAGCACTTATATGACTTTATTGTGTTGCAAGTGCCGCAAAACTCTTACTAAAACTAAAAAATGAGCAGGTGAAGATTTTACCAATACCTCTTTATGCCGAAAAATTGACGAGCACCTGGTTCCACCGCGTCATGACAGTTGAGCCTGTCACATATCAGATGATATCCATATCAGAATGGGAACATCACTGGATCAACAAGCACATTTTGATATCACCAGATGTATGCCATTTTGAGTCACTGGCTCATTTCAACTGCCTTAGAGTGATCATATTGAATTATTCAAAATATTGTTTTGTTGAGGTAAACACTTAAATGTCAATTCTTCAAGGGAGTAAGGCAGAATTTGAAATACTGATTAAACTTGAACCTGCTTCATGGTATGTTTATGTCAGATGACTGATTGGGATTTGAAATGACTATTTAAAGTGACATTTGAAACAAAAATTGTACAATAGTACCAATATAATTTATTAAATAATTTGCTTTTGAATAATGCCACAATTAGTTATCATGTCTCATCTTGTTTCACATCTCTGACTTTCTCTAAACTTTCGTACTGTTCTTTTAAAAAAAAAATCTTTGCATAAACTGCTGTATACACTTTTCTTTTTATTGTCACGTTTCATGTATGATCTAAGCAGTACTTACATCTGATGGCATTGAGCTCCGCCATTTATCACTCTGCAAGTGACTTTTATAGGCTTTTAAAAAATAAAACATTTGCTATTTCCTGTCTGTCACAGCATTTCTGGCCCTGACATGTAACCATGAGCATTAGCAACTGTAATCATTTCTGCTTGTGTAAACCATGCAGCAGGTGGGTGGTGGGCGGGTGCTCAGTGTGGTTTGCTCCTTCTTTCCCATCAAACATCTTCGTCTTTTTTTTTTCTCCCCTCCTTTTTTGTTTGTTACTCCCTTGTAACACCTCTAATCTTCACCACTTATACGACCTTATTGTGTTCAATTGCCATAAAACTCTTGCGAACCCCCCCCCCCAAAAAAAAACCATGAAGTATGCTGGTGATAGAAAAGTGATCATGTAAATGTCGCCACCTGTGCTACCTTTTATAAGATGGTGAAGGGTACATGTTTTTCTATATATGGCTTAAAATATTAACTCTGAATCAGGATGTATAGTTTGTCGTCTTGGATGTTCAAACCATGGTGAATATTTTGTTTTGCTTATAATAATAATGGTCCCCAATTTTATTGAAATGTTTGAAAAGTAGCATGGTTTCATTTGTGTGTAATTACTTTGGTCATTGTATTTCAGCAGAAGATTACAGAGCTAATGGATGCCCCAGTGGATCTTGATATCCCAGCCCATGCCATAAGCCAAGGTCAGAATCCCTATGTGGACCACTGCATGTACTGCAGCGCTCCCCGCACTGACTCTCAGGAGGGGGATGAAGGATTGGAATATTTGGGTATGTTTCTGTTTTTTTTCCCCACTGTTTCATTCCAATTTTTTGTTTTTTGTGTCTTTGTTTGCATTTGCAGTACCCTTGCTTCAGGACTGAGTGCTCTGAATTATCTGGTGATATGTTGATGAGGAGGCCGTGTCTCACGGGGAGGGAACTTGTATTTCTTTTCAGTTGATCTTTTGTTCTTATGGGTTTTTTTCTTAAGTGTTTTACGGCGCTTGCAGCAGCATTAGGTCATGTGAGCGTGCGGGACACTTTTTAAAGCATTTTCAATCTTTAGGAATTAATTTTGAATTTGGCCGAGTGGCGGTCGAAGCCCACTCTTAATATCATAAAGTTTTGGACTGCTAGGGGATCAGTTTTGTAACTTGCACACAGGACGTCCGAGATATTTTTTGCCTTATCCGAGAAGGCTGGATGTTAGATGTTACTGACCCTATGGTCAGGGGTGTAGCTAAAAAACAGCAATATGAAGGCTTTTCTTATTTATGTGACTTGAGAATTCATATTTGGGACTTGGTTTGAACACAGGATAGACATTCTGTTGGTTTTGTTTCATCCAATTGTTTCTCTGGGATCATTAGCAATGTGAAGATTTGTAAAGGTTTTGTTGATAATGGTGACTGCATTGACTTTTTTGTTATTGTGTCTTTTCAGATTTACAGCTGGATGGAAACCCTGTGATAAACAGTCTGACAAGTACCCAGTCTTTCAGTTCAGTAAGTGTGTCTCTTGAATCTGCTGCTGGGGAGTGAACACTCAATGTATGTGTGAGAGATTTTCAGAAGACTCTTGAGTTTATTTTCATTCTTCTAATATATCTCCCAAGACTTTTTCTTATTTTTTTTTGTTTATTCCTTTTATTTTTGGTCATAGAATCATTTCTCTTTTTGATTTTCTTGGATGTGGAAGGATTCAATGGGGAGGGTACTAATATTTTTTAAAGCTGTTATAGGCTTATTAGAGTAAAGTGGGAAGGGTTATGACAATCGGTTTTGGATTAATCAGAATACAAGAGTCTTTATGTTTATCATGTGTTGCTTCTTTTTTATTTCCAGCTGAAATTACAGATCTGGACATGTGCAAAATGCCGGAAAGTAGCTGGGAATTTTCAGTCCTTCTTGGTAAGAATTTGTAAAACTGTCTTGCTTTCTTTACAAGAATTAATCAACTAATTTCTGACTTTTTTTTCAAAATAAGAAAGTTCAATCATCATACAGTGGAGTCAACTAAAACTGAACATGGTTAATCAGAAAACAGCAGTGGTAAAGAGAAAGAAAGTACCCCTCTCCTTTTAAAAAACTTCTTTTATTTGAGCTGCCTCTCTCGATCTAAATTGAAAAATTTTGACGGTGGTCCATAGGATATTAATGTAACTCTCTTCCATTCTTGGTTTTTCAACGTTTTTTCATCAGTACACAGTAGTGTTACGGAAAAAGGGTTTTTTTTTTTTTTATGAGTGAAGTGAATTTTGCGAGATTTCTTGTTCTATTTGATTGTGAATTTGCTTTAAAAATATTTTAATAACACTTTGAAAACTCATTTTCTGCCCATTTTTTATACCAGCTTTTATCGATTTTCTTTTGTGCATCAGATACTGAATGGGAGGTGTGTATGTTTTAGAAAAATTTTCATGAATAAAGGAAATAATAAGTATGAAGTGTTATACATTGTTTGAAAGGTTTGATAAAATGTAGCATTGAAATGTGTTTAAAAAAAAAAAGTAATTAGAAACGGACATAATTGGTACTTGTCATGGAACCCGTACATCAGAGGGGAGGTAATAATAAGACAGCCCACATTTCCTACTTTGGATATAAATAATGAAGTTTATATTTCTTTTAAAAAAACATTCCTGCGCTCATAAAATTAAAGTTACATTTAATCCCCTGCATGTTCATGCAAAAAGTGATAAGATAGCACGGTTTTAGCAGAATTTAGGATGCATTTTGTTACATCACTGCGAGAATACCAAAAGTTGTAATAAATCAGAAATATGCTTGAGTTGAGTAATAAAACGCTATTGATTAACGTTAAAATGCATCGTGGGATTCCTTTCACCAGGCCCACTTGTATGCATGTGTAAAGTGTAGAAATTAATTTTTTTAAATTTTTGATGCCTTTAACCCCTTGATGGCGCTGTGTAAATGTATCTCATATGGCAGCTAAAACCCCTGCTTTGTTTCCTTGATGTTTCAGCTTCTATTAAGTTTTGAACCTAGAGATTGACGTCTCTTGACAGCCTATCGTTTTAGTTATGAGGTCATCTGTATATATACACTATTGGACAGAAAACACTGGTTCTATGACCGGAAGCAAAATGAGGTGTGATGTTTTTGGTACACACATTTTGCGAGACAGCCAAACCTGACGTGTCGACTCAGAAGGCTTGTCTTAGTTTTTTACCCTTGTTTGCATCATTATGGGTTGTTCTACCTGGGTCTTGTCATGTATAAAAACATTTCTTCATTGCTCTTTCTCTTGATACGTAGCGTGACGAGAAGTGCGAGCTTTGCTACCGATAAAACAGGGATGTGTGTTGTCTTTTTCACACTCAGTGCGAGATATAGCCAATGCGTAGAAGCAGAGTGCTTGTTCAGTCTTAGTACTTTCAAGTTGTTTACATCGTTGTGGCTTATTTTATGCAGGTCTTTCAATGGTTGAATTTATTTATCTTTCTATTAGTATAAGTTTTACTGCTTGTTATGGTCTTCATTCCCACATACATTCTCACCCCTATGCCTGTCAGATCTTTACTCTTAAGTTTGATATGAGCTTACTGTTTGTTTGTATTCTGTGATGGTTGCTGAGGGCTTGAAGTATATTTCCATGTGCTTTCTTGTACAGGAGACTCACCTGCCATATGATGTTCCATCATTTTTACATGAAAAAGGGGCCTGCACCGACTCAGTGTCTTGTGAGAAATGCATTGAGGAACGGTAAGCTGGAATTCATTTTTTATTGACCTTTTGTAGTATAGTCTTAATTTTCTTGGGGGGTTCGGGAATGATTTTTGTTGAGCGAAGCAACAGGAATTAAGTGCTTTGTTCTTTTGAAATATATTTCTGATGAATCACAGGGTGATATATTGTAAAGTGTATTTCATTAATCTTTACTCTTTACTTTCATTTAGGGATGGGGGTCTTCTTGTTCCCCTTTGCCTATGTTCAAGCAATGTTTCTCTGTTTACTCTTGTTACCTGTCTGTATGAAGGAAGTGCAACACAATCATGTCGGTTTGTTTAACAACTTCACTCATAATAAGGTGAAATTTGCTTGTAATTGACTTTTCTGTTTCTCTTGTCTAGGGATATTCACGAGAGAGAAACTCAAGAACTGCAGGAGAACTGGGTGGAGCTTAGATCTATAGTAAAGGAATTATACAGCAGTGAGGAAGAACCTGATCTCTCAGAAGAACAAGGGGACAGGCTCAAGTTTCTTGTTGATAAGTAAGTGATCAGATGTATTGTCATCCTTGTACACTGATACTGAATGTTTTTCTTTCATTTGCACATGCCATGGTTGCATTTATTATATACTTTCGAGTTGTCTCTAGCATTTTTCAGTCCTGCTGCAAGTTTCTGAACGGATTATTGTGGGAGTAGAAATACTTTCGATTACTTTCAACATATGAGCCATTGCCAAAACGTGGGGAAAAACACACACATCTCACATTAGTGTGCATAAAATGTGATGCATTAGTATTTATTCCTCCAAAACGTATACACACGTCAAATATAGGATGTAGAACCTGCATTAGCAGTTTCAGACCCCTTGTCAGCTTTACAATCTTGAGTTTGTAAATTTTGTGCCAAAAATGTTCGTTTTTTAGTGATTCCTGGAGTGTCATTTTGAGCACACCAATGCAAACTTCCAAGAATGTCCAAAATTTAGTATTTTTGGGTGTGTTTTTTTTACGTGTGCTTTGATCCTATGTTATTTGTCATTGAGAAAGGTTAACTTGCTCAAGAAATTGGTTTATTTGTTGGCAAATAGACGAACAATTCGGATTACTTGTGCGTCTGTCGTGTCGTCACGGACTAGGTGTTTCAGAAAACACCATTATTTTTCAGTAGAATCACCCTAGCTGGTTAAATCTCTTTGCCTATCGTCGTTTATTCAATACTTCAAAAGCCGCGGTGCGCGAAAGGAACGTCGGGTTCCTAGATCTACGATTTCGGTCGGCTGTTTAACATTCGCCGTTATTGTCGTCAATTTGCGACGTGCCGGTAGTCCGAATTTCGCCCACTTTTGTTTTGAGCGGGTCATCAAAAGTGCCCGGATATAATTGTTTTCTTGAGAGACTTCCCCTTAACCGCGTCCCCAGAACAACGGAAGCAACGGGGGAAACAGAAAAACGAAAGTAGTTGAATGTGACGTACTGGGCTGTTTTGCGTGTTTCTAGGCTACTCTGTTGAATATTTTAGTGAAATTGCGGTGTTTACACTGGATTCCTGGAACAAGAGTGTGATGTGTGAACAAACTTCGAGAGATGGATCATTTCTGTGGTTATAGATTTAGCTTTTGTGCTCAGTGATGACGTTTGGGGTGTCGTCATGCAGCCGTACAAGACTGACTAACGTACAAGAAATTACATTGTCCTAAGAGCAAACATTTTTTAAGTAATGTGTGCTCTCTTTACTCAAACAAATAAACAAACATGTCCTTGTTTATCTGTCTAACTCAAAAATACACATTTGTTCTTTGTTGGTATGATATACCTTTTTCCAATACATTGTGTCATTGTGTCATCATTGTTATGTGTACAAGTAATATTTTTCATAATTGCTAATATCAATAAGTTTTCAACATATATTTCATACATGCAAGGTTCATTTAGAAGCAAAATACGCCTTTATTGATCTGTGTATCTCTTAGTGCAAATTTGTTCTTTGTAGGCATGATTTTACCTTTTCCCAGTATGTTTTGTCATCACTGTTATGTACGAGTACTGTTTGTCATAATTAGCCACATAATTATGATCGTCCACTGTCTTTGATATGACCTGGTATCTGTTTCAAAGCAAAAGAAACATCTCCTGGGTTTTTTTAATTCTTAAAGTGCGATTTATCTCTGGAGGCAAGACTTTTGTCTTTTCCTGTACATTGTGTCATCATTGTTATGTACTTGAGCCATTCTAGTTATTACTCATATTACTCTTCTTTGAGTTGCAGCAATGGTTTTCGTCTTCACGTTTATTATATGAATCATGACACCCAGACTGGTTATTGACAGTCGATATTCTAGTTCTAGGTCTTTTCTCAGGCTCAAAACAGGATTCATTTTTTATATAGGGCCTATAGTTTGTTATGTTGGCTAATATGATGAGGGGAAAATATGGAGAAAATAAGTAAGAACAGACTGAAATACCAAAGTCTCTCAAGATCCCAGTGCCACACTGACATGTTGTTGACTGGATGTAATGTACCTACGTGTGTGTGTGTGTGTGTGTGTGTGTGTGTATTCACAAACGTATACATTGTACATGTATTATATTAGATATAAATGGAGCACACGCTTTCATTATGTAACGTGTTCCTGGGAAATGGATGAGGCCTCTCCCTTGGAAAATTGAGAAGCTGGGTTGGCAGTCACTCAGTATTATAGTCATCTATTGTTTGAAGACTATACTACAAAATGTACATTTGCATTCATTTATAGACATTTTGACTTTTTATCATTGATAGATGGGCTTTTTGGGGGATCATTCTTGACGTGCAGCGGCCTGATTTTTCCCTCGAATTGGGGTCTTGAAAAAAATTTGGGGGTCTTGAAAAAATTTTCCAGGATTTGGTGGGACCCTGATTTTAATATTGTTCTATAATGTGCATAAACACTGTATGATGTCACCAGTAGGAAACAGGGTGTTCAAGTCCTATTTTTAAGATGCTGACAAATTGCAGCAATGGATGGTTATTATGGAGTTTATTAATTATGTTTTTGTTTTGTCCCTGAAGCTAATAAATATTTGGTAGATATTGACCAGATCCTATGAATGACTGTTGGCCTGAACGTAACTATTCTCTTCAACAGATTATGCAGCCGAGACCCACACCAATTGTTTCTGAGGCTGGAGTCTCAGGTTCGAGAACTGGTGATGGGAATCAAGACAAGTCTTCTGGAGAAGTTGACACAAGATGGTTACAACACCCCTGAACTGTCCCTGGCATTCACCAGCAGTATGCTGTGGCATTATGATTTGCTCACAAAAAAGGCCCATCTTCTAGCGCAGTATCTAGGAGGGCTGGTAAAGATTTTTCTTAAGTAGTGTGAAGTCTAAGCATTGTTGTTGCGATGTCTTATCTAAAGATTCAAATACAAAGGAAATATTTCTAAGGTAATACTCAGTGTGTACTCTTTTAAAAAATAATTTTCAAGAAAGAAATAGCCAGTTAATTGTTTCATATTGTTACCTAGTCATATGAAAAAGGAAGAGTATATTGTATACTTATAAGCACACTTTTGTTTGATTTCTTCAGAGTGAACACTTGTGTCGGTTCAAGGTGACGTGGGAGTTGTTGAACAAACATTTGTTCCAGTTTATTGTCCACATAGACCCCACCATCAACAATAGTGGACCTACAATCTTGGAACAGCTGAGGTAAACATTAGATTTCCTTTGCAAGATAACTCCAGGCTTCATTTGTGTTACTTCTTTGCAAAAGCCTTTTCTTGAATTATAGTACTGGCTACGCGGCGTCAACTCTTTGATTTTGAAACTTTGGTATAAGTGAAGCTTAAGCTTAGTGTTTATTTCAAGGTTTGTTAAACATGAAGTGTGGTGCTTTTTTCTCTCAATCTGCTAGTGTTTGGAGTGCACAGCTGAAAAGCCCTTCTTCTCAATGTATTCTTTGCTGCTACGATTTGTCTGCCTTTTCAGTGCACTAAGAAACAGTTATTGTGTGTAACTCTTTAACTTAAAGAAACTCCTTATTTCCACAGGCAAGGTTCACTGAAACATGAAAAGTCCAAAGATGACCCTTACTGTGTGGTTCGAAAACGACTTCTCAAATTTCAAGAACAAATGTCTGTTGTTGTGGTAGTGTGGCGGGACTGTCAACAGCTGATAGAAAATTATTGTCAGGAGGAAGTTAAGGTACTACATCTTGTTGTGTTGTTTGAACTTCTTTTCTAGAAGGCATAGGCTAAGACGTAATGTATTAGTTACCAAAAAATTGAAAAGAATGACAAGAATTTAACATTTTGTTAAAGGAGTACTGATTGTACATTTTTACATATGAGGTTAGATCTAATCCCATGCTTTTCATGTCTCACCATTAAGTTTGCATCCTTTCAAAAAATTGTACATGAGAACGAAGAGAATGGTAAATTTATTTAGAAAAAAAATATACACTCTTTATTATTTAAAAAATTGAGTGCAGTAGGCAAATGATTCCACATGTTATGAAAGGTTTTACCTTGAATTGGGAGTCAAAGTGTTCAACACCATTTCCTTTTTTCTTTTTATTCTCCCTTTTTTTTAAAAATAAAGAATTCTCAAAGGCAAGTTCAGCTATTGAAAGAAAAAAACCTTATCAAAGAACTTCTGATGAAGTTAAAGTGGGTGTTACGGTATTCAAAGCCATTTCCTGTTTTCTCTTTCTTTTTCTAAAATTAGAATACTCAAAAGCAGGTTCAGATATTGAAAGAACACCTCATCAAAGAACCTCTGATGGATGAAGCGTTATCAGAAACAATGAGAAATCTCATGTCTGGTCACAAGCCTTCAACTGAAAGAGTAAAATGTCATCGGTGTAAAAGAGAAAGGTAAGGAACCGTAAAGGTTTTAAAAAATTGAGCAAATGTGTGTACATTCATCCTTTACAGTGCAGCTCCCTTCACACCCACAGAATAATGGAGATTTTGATATTAATTGGTTTATCTATGAATACGCCACTGTAGAATCCAGTCTGCCAATGAGCTAATTGGTGGCAAAATTTGTTCTTTATGAATAATGTATGTGTTAAGAACCCAATTTCAAAATTTGAATCCCTAAAAATGGGTATAGCCTGGGAGAAGCAGAAGTTACTCAACTCAGTGTTAATAAATGTGAAGGTTCTTTTTCTGGCGAGAGGAAAAGCAAATGTTATTATGTCAAATACATGGAGTGACATCAAGCGACTCGCCCAGGATAAGGAAAGGTGGAAAGTGTTTGTTCGTGGCATATATCCTGATCCAGGGTGAAAAAGGCAATGATGATGATGTCAAATAAGTATGTTTATAGGATAGCTGGGTATGGCTTGTGAAAGTTCAGACTCTCACTCTGCCACTATTTGTATTCACATCAGATGAAACCTGTTTGAAGGAGAACATTTAACTCGACGTCTTTGCATATTTGAAAAACTTTGCCTGTTTTGAGAATTTTACTCTTTATTCGGGTGCAATTGGATCTGTCTGTATAAACGTAAAGCATGTTGAAGGGTAAGGGGATTCAAAGGATAAGTTTTTGAGAAAACAGGTTTGAAAAGTTTCAATGATGCGGCTGCATAAAGAATGAAACAAGATGGGCAGTTCCAATTTATTTTACAGCTGTTACAACTGCCAATTTATTTTACAGCTGTTACATTATCATAAACATGGGGTCTTCCACTATATACTTTTGAGACCATTTTACATATTGACCAGTAGTATAGGAGCGTTCAAATTTTGCTACACACCCAGGGCTATCGTGCAGAATAGAAGATACAGCATGAAGCTGGCTGGCTATGCAGATGTTCAGTGCCTTTTTTTCCCTTTCCTTCTTTTTACCTTATCTGCTGGGGTTGTTTTTGGTTTTGTTCTTAATACTGCGCTACTTTCATTGTATTTTGTGTGTGTTCGTGGGGGTGGGAGGGTCGCTTGCAAGAAAGGCAAAATTGCTTGGGTTGTAAATTTTTGTGTTCTTATTTAAACAATTTTTAATAGCATTATTGACTATTCCTCTTCCCCAGGTGCACCTGTGATGAATGCACCATCACACACATGATCACCTGCGGGATTATCAACAATGACAAAGGGGAAATCCCACCACCGCCAAACTCCTTTAACTTTGCACTTGACCACACTCGAAATGTAGTGATGGACATAACCCCGCCTTCCATGTCGAGCACTACTTCCAGCAGTGGCTCCGTCTCCCCCATCAACATAGAGGATAAGCTGACCACCTTTTATGACTATGACTGTGAAAAAGCCCTCAAGTAAGCTCTAGCAGGAAACGAAGTTTAAGTACTTTTTTTTTTTTTTTTTGGGTGGGATTTTTTTAGTATCAGTTGAATGATATGTGAGCTTAACTTAGGTAGACTCTGAGGTTTTCATTTTCTTAATATCTGCTAGTTGGTTGTTTAATTTCATTGAGAGATAGAAGGAGAAAAGTTGGAGTTAGTAACATGGTGCCAAAAACAACACCAAACAACCCACCTTCGAGTAATGATAAACTGAGACAAAAAAAACAGGGAATATATGTTGTCTGAGTGTCTGCAGGTAAAGAGGAAGTGACAAGAAGCTTTTTCTTCTTTATACAACGCTCGTACAATCCATATATGTAAGCCAATCTGTGTTTACTGCCAGTAAATCATTTTTGTGCGGTAGATGTATTAGATCTAGATCTTATCTTCTCTTTGAGCTAAAATCTGAATCTGACGCTTTCAAATGAGGGCAAAATGGTGGTAAATATAAAGGGAAGGTACCTCAATAATAATTACAAGATTTTAGCAGAACTTCCTTTATAATTGATATCAAAACAACCTCTGTCACCGTACCGTAGAACGGGCCATAGGCGCAGCGCTACATGGTCCAGACCCGTAAATTCTACGGGCGCAAGAGCGAAGAGGTTAAATAAATTATTAGACTCAACTGAATCTGTCTGTTCGGATGCGCATTTCGTTCTCAAGGCCTAGATCTATTCCTATTCACTTGTTCCACTCCGTCTAGATCTAGATTTATCTAGATCACTCTATGGAGGATTCATATTCCAATTCTATTGTGTTATTGTACCAAACCCTATTATAGCAATGTAGGCCATTTTGGTCCTTGTTGTTTGGGGGGGGGGGGGGGACTTCCTGGCTTTTTGACATTTCTGAAGGGCCATTGCAGGTTCTTTTTTGCCCCAATCATGTACCTACAAGTGCTGCTATTTTATGACACCCACAAAAGCTGTTATGGGCAATCTGGTTGAGGTTCACATGGAGGTCTATGCAACTTAACAGTTTAAAAAATTATTTGTTTATGAATGTGATGAATTTATTAGCATAAAATCTTTTGCTTTTTCATGGTTTTTTTTGTTTTTTACTCTCCTGTCCACTCAGATATGATTTCAGTGATGCCCTACTGAATCGTAATGTGCAGGAGGGAAAAGCCTCACGATTTAGAGAGTGCAACACAGATGAAAGATTGAGAGAGTGCGACACGGATGATATTGATGACAACGCAGGAGATGATGAAGATGAAGAGGAGGATGAGGATGACGAAGACGACTTTCCGGATAGTCAAGATGCTGGTGGTGATGAACCTCATACTCTTCAGGTGGGATTTTCTACTCTTCTACTGCTCTCGTTGGATTAATTTGTAGGCAGATATCAAAATGCACAGTTTTTAAATTTTCCTTTTCCCCATAGCTTGGCTTGTTTCAGCATTTTGTAGGTAGTTTATTTTTAAGTTGCTATTTAAGATAGTAATGTGCCAGTATTCAACTTTGATGTTCTGATGAAAGGTTTAATTGCATTGACTTACACAACAAATCCATTTAATAAAGCATTTAGGGTAACTTTACTCAAAATTCTGTGCTTTGCTCCTGGACAGACTTGCCTACCTATGCAAATAAAAATCAAATTTTAATATGATGCAGTTGTTTGACAAAATTGTTGAATGCTGATTTGTATTACTTGTTCAACTCTTTGGCCATGCTCAAATCCCTTTTGATGGAAAATAATTCCCTAAAATGTGACCTGTGGGTCATTGACGGGTGCTCTGGTGTTGCTTGCTCCTTCTTTGCTATCATCTATCATCCTTATAGCTCCTCTTTCTTTTCTGTGTTTGTAAATCTTTGGTACTTATGTGATATGGCTTAATTGTGTTGCAAGTGGTCGTAAAATGCTTACTAAAACAATGTTTACCTGTTGTTTCACCCCTGTGTTCTTCCTGGAAATATCATCATCACCTCTTTGATCAAAATTATCTCGTGCACCAACATTAGTACTGTAAGCATCGTAAAAATGTCCTGTTGGGTCTGAAAATTTCAGATTTAAAAAGCTAGCTTTGCGGTGGGTATTTATTAAGAGTATGCCCTTTTTATTTGTAACGGTAACTCTGCCTCTGTTCCTAGGGTTCTTCTTCAATGAAAGAAATTCTTTACATAATACTTGCATCAACTGCTTATCATAGTTTTGTTTTTATTCAGGCCACATCGGTTGAGATAGATAAAGTAAAAGTAGTGCGTACTGCTCAATGGCAGCAAAATTTCTTACTGCAACTGCAAAAGCACCAACAAAGTCAACAGCATCATCAACATGCTTCAGAGGGAATGATTACTGAACATGACTGTGCTCAATGCCACCAAGGGCAAAGATGTATTGTAAGTTTTTGATTACCTCCAAGCTAAAACACTGGCCTTTTGGAGCAATAACTTAAAAAAGGTCAGGTTTGTTTATGAACCCACTAACAAATACCATATAACTGAAGATTTGTTGAGAGTTGATAACAATGAGTTGTTTGTGCTGTGTTGCATCATCAGTGTTGGCAACAATTGCCTCTAAACTAAAATGCTGGCCTCCGAAAGAAAGAGAGAAAAATGGAAAACCCGTTTTTGTCAGTGAACCATCATAAAATGGAAGATCTGTTGGGATATTTTTTTTACCTTTGAAAGTTGATAACAGTTTTCCCTCTTTACAGCAGCATGTTGTAAATGTTGACGACTACCCCCTGAACTAAAACCTCGGTTTAACAGAGAGAACAAAAAATGGAAACTCTTTTGATTTATATATGAACCCACTAACAAATGAAATAAAACCATCTATTAGTTGAATATTTACATTTGAGAGTTGATAACAATTTGTTGTCTTTATCTTGGACTCTTACAAAAAGATGCAATTTATTGTTTTAATTTTGTTTTAAAAAGAAAACATGTTTGTCTTAATTTAGCTCCTTTTTTAAGACCAAAGAATTAGGTTTTGTAAAAGATTATGGAATAATATGCATTAATTTCTAAAAGCAAAAGAAAATTCTTTTTGAATAATAAATCATATTTTGTTTTCCTTCTGTAAACAGTGAGTGCAGTTTGCATAGTTGTATTAAAAAGCTGTAGGTCTTGGAATCCAAAGAAAATAATATTGATTTTATTTATAGCATCATTTATGAGAGTGTGGATGAAAACATTCTCATATTGGTCTTACAAAAGCACTTGTTTGTTACAGAAGAGATCACAAATGTCTCCTGTTGTGGACTAAGCACAGGTTTGTCTTTTTTGTCATTGATCCTGTCATTTTTCTACTGAATTAAGACCTTGATTACACTGTAATCTCACAGCAGTGAGGTCCACTTTTCCTTCCCACGGCTGATAAATTCAAGGAATATAACTCATTGAATAATTCTTTTCTTCTTATTTTGGTTTTTATTTTCTAGTTTCAACCCAGACTGGATCCAGAATTATCACGTCAACTTGATGCAGAGTTGGCAAAATCTGGTCTGTTACCCGGTGGAGCTGGCGACGAGGGCTCCTCTGTCGGAGGTGATGATGTGGAAGATAGTCGGGTCAGTGCTGACAGCAATGTCAGTCCTGGAGTGTTTGCTGCCTGCCAGTGCCATGCTTGCTTGAAACAGAGTGGCCATATGATTTCCACGTCTTTGCCTCTTCAGGTAATTACTTGGGAGGGAGAGGCACTGGGTTAAACCATATTCTCTTTTTTTTTTCTTTCTTCTTTAAAGTCCCACCTTAGTTCATATCTTTCTTTACTTTACCCTTGAGGATTTCTTATTTTCTTGTGGGGGTTTTTTGGATCCCAATAAGGCGGAAAGTCTGATGTATGTACATTTTTTGTTGTACATGGTACACTGCTATGTCACTGGAGGATTCCACCCTCAGTGGCTTAGTATAAATCCTATACAAAGTACATGTCACATTAGAAAATTTCGCATCAGCAAGTTTCAAGGACAATGTTCATTATTTTGCCCTCTGCGAAATTCCAATCAATTCCTGTACCTAAATCACAATGAATAAGGATTTGTGTGGTGATTGGGAAATGCCAATCATAATCAAATGTGTGCTTTTGGTGCTCTGCCAGGTACCAGTGTCCCCTCCGCCCGCACAGCTCCACCTGTACTCGCACATTTATGGCGACGGTCTTCCCCAGCAGCACCCTCAACGCTTTATGTTTGACCTGCCTGCCCCAGTCATGCCCCCAGCCAAAGTGCCAGGAATGCAAGACCATATCTATCATGCATACAGGTAACTTATTGGTTCCTCCTGGCTCTTATTTTAGTTTGGTTTTGGGGAATTGTTTCTAGTCTTGCAGAGATAAATTTGATGATGTGAAGCTATCATGTTGGATTTCTTTCTCTGGAATCTACTTGGGATAATCTTTTAATATTTTATGACTGATGTTTACCTTTGTCTGAGGTGTACAAATATAATTTTGCTTTGTTTTTTGTCTTGGTAGTGATTGTGAGTTGTTGGTGGGTGCTCTGGTGTGGTTTTGTTATTTTTCTATCAAACGTCTTTCTCTTCTCCTTTATTTTGCTTGTTACTCTTGAGTACAACACTTATATGACTTATGTTTGTGTTGCAAGTGCCATTCACTCACTTGAACTTGAGCTATTCTTCACCCCCCAACGACCATTGCAACCTGACACTTTTGGGGTATATTGATACGTTAACCATAAAAAGGCTGAAAGCTATAAAAAAAAAATTCAACAAGAGAAAGAAATGCTCTCATTAAAAAAAACACAAAAAAAAACTATGTTTTACGTTTTTATTTTATCAATATTTTGAAATGGCAGTGTCTGGGGGTTGCGCCCAATTTATAATAGAATCATCTTTCGCAGTGGAGGGGTGACTGACTCAGTTACTGCTGAAAAATTATCGCACATAACTTCACCAAATTTTTTATGAAACGAAACAAGTGGGTCAACTGTTTGAACGTCTCTTCCCATAGCTTGTAACCGAGATATCGATCGATAAAGCGCATCCCATAAATACTCAGGAATAGGCTCAAGTGAGTTAAACTCTGACTAAAAGATAATGATGATTTGTTTATGTCACCAGTGACTGGGATAACACTATGCAGCCTCGACCTGGTTCACTAGCGGCACAGCACCATCACCAACACCATCAGCGTCTTTCTGCTCTCACCTCAGACCTGTTGCCTCCAGCCCCATTGGCCACGTCCTCCCCGCCCTTCAGCTTTGACTCACACCTGGCAACGCACACCTCTCACACATCCACCATCACCGCCAGCGCTTTCAAGTCTATGGCCGGCAAGCACCTGGCCTCCTCCATTCTTCCATCCTTGGGTCACCTTACAGCAGAGGGGAGCTCAGTGGATCCTACCAAACCTCTGGACTTTGCTTCCTTGGCCAAAATCCCCCAGTCATGCCTGAATGTGGCGAGCCCCTGCTCCCAGTCCTCCTTCTCTGCCTCTTCCTCTTCCTCTTTTTCTTCCCCGTCGAATGTTGTGACAACCTCCACCTCCACATCGTCGGTTACCTCAAAGTCGAGTGGCTCCAGTCATGGGCCGCCTTGTTCTCGGCCGTCCCCTGTAGGGGGCAATGCGGTGGCCAGTAAGTGGGAGAGGGGACAGCACCCTCCCCATTGTAAAAAGATGAGTTCTGGTTTCCTGAACAAGTCTGGTGTTGGAGCGGGTGGTGGTCTACCCGGAGCCCCCCACCCTCCCCACAGCATGGGGATGTTGCCCTTCTCTAATGCCCCCCACAGTGCACCCCCTCCCCTTCCCCCCTCACAGGCAGGCCTCAAGAACTTGGCCAATGCTGGTGGCGGTGGAGTAGTTAGTGGCGGTGGACATAGGGAAGACATGTTCAAAACTCTGCGTTCCAACCTACCTTGTGCCCACGCCTCCAACCCTACCCTCCGGCCGGCTGCCCCAATGGGCGGCCCCTCGGTGCACCACTCTGGTTCGCTCACTGCCCCAAATGCCCTGCCTCACCAGGCGCTCCCCATGGCCTGCAGCAATGCCAGCAGTCTGCCTTCTGTTGTGAATAACATTGGGGTGGGCACCTCATTGCCTTGCAGTGACCCAGCTTATGAAGGGCATCATCTGGAGGACAACTGTGACAGTGTAGATGACAGTTGCTCCGAGAAAAGTTCCAGCACCTCCACTTCCAATCAGAAAGAAGGCAAATACTGTGACTGCTGCTACTGTGAATTCTTTGGTCATAATAATGTAAGTTCAGCAAGAACTGAGGGGTTTTTTTGGTCTGTTTGTTTCTTTAATAATGTTGTCTTAGTTTGGGTTAAACAAAATGAATAAAGTCATCTTTTTTTAATACTTTACTTGTTGAAAAGAAAGTTGGTTTTGAAATGTCTCTGAGAGCAAGTTGACATGTTTGCAACATTTAATTGAGAATCGATATAAGCTGTATCTGTTATTACTGTTTTCTGTCCGATCTTGAAATGGCTGGGTTTAATCATTGCTTTTGTTTGACACTAGTATTTATCAGTGCTTTTGTTTGACTTCAGCAGGTAAATTGAGTACAATTTTCATATGTTGATTTTTTGTTTATTCACTCCATGCCTGTAATTTCATCTTAAAACTTTTTGTCTATCACAGCCTCAGGTTGCAAAGACAAGTACAAACTACATTGAAATGAAAGACAGGCTCAGGAAAAAGTTGAAAAAGCGGGTAAGATGTCTGTAAGGGTGGAATGACGTTAACTTTTTGATTTAGAGTTTTTGTCTTTTGATCAATTGTTCCATGTAGAACAGGATTTATTGATGATGTATCTTCTTGTTTTCCCCCTTGTGTACCTTTGCTTAAGTTCAGGAAGTAGGAAATTGTAAGATCTAAATTCTTACATCCCAACTAATTTTATGCACTTGGTGGGTGGTTGGCGGTTGCTCTGGTGTGGTTTGCTTCTTTTTTCCTATCAAACATCTATCGCCCTTATCTCCCCTTCTTCTTTTTTATGTTTGTTACTCTCCTGTAACACCTCTAATCTTCTGGCGCTCATATAACCTTATGCAGTTGCGAGCACTGTAAAACCTCTACTAAAACTAACTTTTATGCACTTGGCATTTTATGCATAGAGAGCTTAGAATCATCCCTTGTTGGAGAGGAAGTCATGTCCTGTTTTCTAAAGTTGTCTTAACTGTTTGTATTGACTTGGGTAGGAATTAATTTTGAATTTTGCCGAAATAGCTACCCAGATGATTTTAGAAGTGTTAAGGGGTCTTTAAGTAGGTACCAGAAACTAAATTTTCAAAGTAGTTGTATGCCACATTTATCAGTTCCATTTGAAAGGCCTATATCCACTGAGCATTTTTGGTACCATTCTTTAACCTCTCAGTCAATTTTTAAGAAAATGGTAGTTGTTTAAAATTTGGTCAAATTTGTTAAAGTCAGTCACTGGCTGCAACCCCATGTTTGACAGACAATAAAAGAGTACCAAGAGCACTAAACATCTCCACATTAACAGAGTACAATCACTATAACAAATATATGGAGCCTAATTTTTTTCAAGACTGTGAGATCATTACAAATCAGTACTTTATCGCCTCAAACACGATGATCTGTCGTTATTTCGACAAAAACACCGAGCGTTGACCCCGTCGGCGCCGCACCGGGCCCCGCGGCGAGCGAGTCGGCTCTATACTGTAGTGTACCCCGCGTGCTGGATCACATGCTTTCTGAGTCTTGCGGAAGGATTTGATGAAAAATAATTCCAAGCTGATTACTTTATTCTAATAGAAAATAAGCTGATCTTTTATTACATATATTTTTTAAGCCGGTATTTTACATATTATGGGTAAAAACTGATCTTTAAACATTTTGACAGTATTTTTAAAAGCTTTCTATTTAGACGCCAAAGGCAAAACATAAACCACGGGAAAGCCCGTTTAAAGCTCTACAGTCTCCGCCAATGAAAAGACGGCATTTAATCATTCCTCGTTCCGCGAAGCATTTGAATGCACTCGTGTCAATTTTTCAACCGGCCGACCACGCATTCCGACTGCGAGGGGCTTCGCTTTCGTCGGCGATTCTCCAGCTCCTACTAATCGGACTTAAAAACAACTTACACCATTGTAACGAAGAAAAGCTGAACTTTTACAAGGTGTACGGCACTTGGTGTTTTATAGCGAAAGAGCAAAGAAACAGCGATCGGAATTACCCCGATTTCACCGATACCACGCGGTCGGAAGGCCACGAGTGCTCGCGAGGCCGTGTTTACGCTACCTACTTTAAGGTGCGAAGCTTTAACACAGACATCTGAAATTTGTAGTCCTTTTCTGTATAGACTAGGCGCTCGATCCTACTTTTCTGTTTTGCATCTTAATAAGTGATCTTAAAGAAGTTTGCATGATATAGCTTTGCCTGGGTGGTAGACATTGAGGAAGTAAATTGCCCAAATGCTACTCCCTTCCCTTCGAATCTTGACGTCCTTGATTTACTCCATAGGAGAGACATGGTTCATGCGTTTTTAATGAAGGAAGGTGAAAGGGTGTGCCCTCTATTTTACTGGTGTGAGAAGGATGTTTCTTGTGGTGGGAATTTTAAGATTTTACCCCAGCTGTAACCAGCCTACTCTTCTATGATTTTCAACCTGTCGGGGATCTTTAACATATGCAAAATGTACACAGGACCTTGAAGGTTTTGTTTTACCTTATCCAAGAAGACTAGATGTTTAATCTTATCAACCTTATTATTAGGGGTGTGGGGGATGAAAGAGTTGCAGTGAGTGAAAGGTTTATAAATTATAGCTTGGTGAAAGGGTTGAATGATTTTCTGAAAAACGATAGAAAGGAAAGTATGATATAGTGTTCAGTACTGTAAACCATGCTCTTTCCTTTTCTTGTCAGTGTCGTCAAATTGATTCTCACCTTTTTCAGCAAACTGAGACCAAGCACAGAGGAGGGAGTCCGATAAATGGCCATGTAAAAAGTGAAAATGACCTGAAAGATCCTCTTGAAAAGAAAGGCCTGGAAGGGCTACTCAGCTTTATCAATGGTACTGATGACAGTGGCCAAGATCAATGCAAGCAGAAAGATAACAAAGAGTTAACAGCTAAAGCGGCAAAGCGAGCAAGGCAGAAACAGAAAAAGGTGTGTTGATTCTCTTTGAAGGCTTTGTTCTAAAGATATAGCCTATCCCTAACAGTTTGGGAATGTGGAGAGGTGTCTGTTTTAACAGTGTTACGATCTCTTTATGTACTTAATATTCTATGGAGATGTCTTTGGAAAGAAAAGGAAACTTGAGAATTGAAAAATGATTAAAGGGAAAACATTCCTGGGTTGTTTTTTTATTGGGGGGGGGGGGTTGTTGGAGGAGTTGGTCTTTGAGACTGTATTACCCAAGTAAATCCTAAGTACAAATTTTCTTGAGGATGAAGGAAATTCTTGAGCATTATGATACATTTTCTCCAACTTCTGGAGATAATTGTTTGTTTTATCATTATATAATGCAATGGAAAATGATCATGCTCACTGAAGTGGGGAAATTGTTACATTGCTTTGTAAGTTCTTACATGGAACAAATGTAGCAAATCATTGCTGTCACAACGACGATGCTAACTGCTTGATTCCATTCGACCATTTTTTTAGGATGAGTTATGTATTTTCCATAGAATGTGAGGTGGTAATCAGGATCACTTGAGAACATTCTTCATTTAGATTTAAAACATTTTGTGAGACTGGGCTACCCTGAAACAGTTAAGATCAACTGGGATTTTGGCATGAAGAATTAAAATGCTAAGGGTATGGCAGGTCTGAAAAACATGGAAAGAATGTAGGACTTACTTTACAATGGTGTTGTGAGTTGAACTCACATGTTTAGTAGGAACACTCATATCAGTGGTGTGTTTGTTGTGATAACAATTCTCATAAAACTCTGTTGAGGATGTTTCAGCAGTGTGTGTGTTTGTGTATGTTATAACCACCATTCTCTGTTTGTGTGCCAAACTGGGACACAGTTTTTGCTCATTGTGGTTTAGTCCCTAGATTTTGGCTACTGTGTTGCTGTCAGTAGTGAATGTCTGTAGGGCTTCACATTTCGCTGCTTTCTGTTAGGACTGAAATTGTGGTGAGCCGTTGTGTTATAACGTTATATTTCTGATGATAGAAAACAGTGCAGTTGGAGAAGATTATGGAAGGTCTTCCTGTATGGACTTACGTGTTGCCATGTATTGTTGTTGTGGGTTGCTTGCTTGGCAGTGATTTCTACATTTATGGACTATGTATGAAAATTCCTCATGATGGCCCATGAATCATTTAGTTAAAAGGTTGCATTTAAAGGATGGGTAAGAATGTTTGATAATTTGCCATTGGTTCCTTGCGCTTTTTTTCTGCTGTCCCCACAATTTTTTAATGTGCCCAGATAATTATCGTTATAGCTTGTTCACTTTCATCTGTCTGTGTTTTAAAAATTCCAAACTATTTATTGATTTGCCAATGTGTTTGTAACTTTGCATAGTACTCCTGTAGGCCTGCGACCAAACAAAAATGTTTTTTTAAACAAAATCTTGACTTGATCAAGTTATTTAAAACTTTCTGTATTTTGGCCCTATATTTTGAACACTGCCCTTTGGGTGTGCGCACGAGATCACTACTTTCATGACTTAAAGTAACCTAGACTACAAATTTTTCATTTTGAGACGGTAACACCACCCTGCCCCAACATTTCAGTGTTTTAAGCTTGTAGATATCATCCCAGGACCATCTAGGTGTCATGAAAATTATTCACCCGTGGTTCATAGACGTACATTAAAGTGTGGTATTGATAAAAATATATCCACTTTTAATGTTTTAGGTGTTGGCTGTAAATCCTTTTTTTTTTACCCTCTTTGGGCTAACATCAAAAGAAACATGTCACGGTCTGTTTGAAGTGACCTTCATTAATTGGCCTTCAGATTCTGTTGATCATCCATCTTTTAGGCTCGCATACAAAGTAAAGATTTGAGAAGATTAAACAGAGCAAGGCGTTTTAACTGCGGAAAGTGAACAAACTAGCTCAAAGTGGAAGGGGGGGGGGGGGGGTTGTTGTTGACTGAGTGAAGCAAGAAAGAAGGGACTTTTTTTTTCTAGATAGATAATTTGATGGCTTCTTCAGTGGCTTTAGGATTTAGGAACATAAAGCGTTGATATTGGTTTCTTCTTTTTGGCTTTTGTCTGTCTCCAATGTTTTATTTAATGTAATAAGTAAGTGTATAGGTTTAATGTCCCTATCAACAGTATTAGGTTATTTAAATGTGGAAGCTCCGAATTTAGTGTCCAACTCCGTTAAGACCAAACCAAATGGGTTGAGAGCCTTGCAAACTCTACAAAACGAATCGAGTTCAAGACCGCCTATACTGGAATCGGAAACAGGGTCATCCACTCCATAGTCCAGCATGATACCAACTTAGCACCCTCAACGTTTAAGAAACCTTATAGTCACAGAGAAGGGAAAGACATGCTTCTCAATTTTTATTAGTAAATTATAAGCAAATGACTTAATGTAGTGTGCCGCCCCTGCATTTAATTTTTTCGTTTATTTTTATTTCAGCTTGAGGAGAAGGCGAGATTAGAGAAGAGTGTTTCACCTAGTGAAAAAAATCGAGAGCCAGAGCCAGAACTCTCTCTTAGACATTTGTTACACAACCAAACGCTCAACGTGGACACTCGGCCTGAATCTGACGGCAAGGCAAGCATGGGCAAACCCAAACTGCGTAAGTCTCCAGCTGAGGCGGCAACAAAGAAAGATAGTCAGAGGGAGAACACTGCCCCACCAGCAGCCAAGTCACAGGAGATTCCCAGGTCTTCCTTAATTATCGAGTCCACAAGGGCCACAATTTCCCGCTCCTCCAAAGATCTGGACAAGCCTATCTCATCTACCCAGCAAAGTCTCCAGTCGAATCACAGCAGTAAGAGACCGACACAGATGATGCAATTTTTTGAGTCCTTCAAAAATAACAGTGCGGTAAATGCTGTGTCCTTCTCTAAAACACCAGGGCCTGTGAAAAATGAAACGGTGTCTAGTCCAGCTCCATCCAAGCAGCTGCGGGTTGTGCTGCAGCCGAAACAACAGAAACGGCAGGCGTCTCCGGCCACCAACAAAGTCACTAATGGGAAGGTATCGGTTCATCCTCATTCCTCGGTGCACACCAATCACACAACTTCAAATGGCAGGTCTTCTTCCGTGGCTGCTGCTGCTGCTGCTTTTGTTGCCGCTAGCAAGCCAGGATTGACCCAACCGGCCCCAACTACAAATGGCTTTGTGAAGACCAGTACGTCAACAACTCCCGCTACAGCCGCTTCTAAGACAGTGCCTGCCCGTGCCCCTGCCTCGGCAGCAGTAACGAGTGCTTCCCCAGCAGCTCCCTCGGTGACAGCAGGGAAGGCAAATGTCCCAGACAGCCCTGGGGCTGGCAGTAACAGTTCTGCCTCTCAGTCGCCCTCCAGTGGCACCAAGCCTGCGGAAGTGGTAAGAGCCGTTCCTTTTTTAGGGAGTGGAGTAATGCCCTGGGTATTGTTAGCCACATTAAAATTTATCATCAGATAATGTTCTAAACCTGCCGCACCAGTCATGTATACTTCTTTGAAGGAAGCACAGCATGGCATTTATTATGTGTTCCTGTATTCTTACATGCAGACAGGGGGAGGATGGGGGCTGGCTAATAATGCTGATTTCCTCACAAAGAACATGTGAGAATCCGGGTTTTTCTATTCTTATGCTGTCCAGAGGATAACTTCTTTTTTGTGTAATTTCGAAGGTGCTCCACAGCTTTTTGCTTACAGATTTTAAAAACTTTTAATGTTAAATTAATGCATTAGTTCATTTTGATTCCTGGAAAGTAATTTCAACTTTGAACCTTCCGTGTATACTCAAACACTGTATTTTTTGTAGTAGTGATCATCAAATGATTTTAAGAAAAGGAAAGTTGGATAGAATAGTTTTGTTTGTTGATTTGTTTTTCGTTGAAATGTAAACAAGAAACACAATAGCTTTGAAATGAGGAAAAGAGTTTCGATGCAAAATAAATTAATGGAGGGTGGGTGGAGGTCGCCATTTGTAGATCCTTCTTTTCCGCACCTCTCTTGTTTCTGTCCGTCTTACTTTTCCCCTGTACTAAATGACAGTTACTAAAACAAAATGAATGGTGTGCCAGTGTAGTGTAAACTTATGAGTTAAAAATGTCAAATATGGTCATGGTTATTTGATGTTATTCTTCAAATGTCTGTTTATCAAAATGCTGTTAATGTTGGAAGCACCGATTTGTCTTATATATTGAAGAGTAATTGTTTCATATCTGTTCCTTAATCAAGCTTCCAGTGAAAACAAATTGGCCTAGTATAGTTACAATATCTGCGGTGTTTTGTAGCGAGGTGTCATGCAGACCAAAAGTTATATGTAGTAGCTCAGTTTATGAGCTAACTGCAAGATTTTGTATTTCTCTTTCAAACTTTTGGAAATTTCAATCTATGTACATTTCTTGTATTCATTTTAAAAGTTTATTCTAAAAAAGGTTTAATTTCCTTCTTCTTTTTGAATGGTTATGTCTCGTTTTTGTTGTGAGGCATTTATATGCTAAAATTGATTTACTTTTTTCTCTCCTAGACCAAGCCAGCTAAAGCAAAGAAAAACAAGAAAAAGAACAAGAATGGTGATTTAAGCTGTGTTGGTAAGTTTAAAAAGCTGTTTCTTTTTTTTTTTTCCCAAGTATTTGGACCAGGAACATGGACAGATTAGTGCACACCTGCTGGTTTGCTGTGATTTTGAGATATCCTTGCATGGCTTGTTTCTTCGCAAGTGTATCATTGTATGTGTCACATGGTCACCTCCGGGTCAGCTGTTGCTGCCAGCTGATTGTGGCAGTACACATCTGATTTTGAATCAGAATGGGCTGAAAATGGCACAGTGATGTTCATTGAAAACTTCTGTTGTAGAAAGTTAATGTAACCAAAGGGATGTACAGAATTTAAGTGACGTAATTCATTGACATAATAGCTCTATCTGACTGGCTTTCTTTTTTTTTTCTGTGAGAACTCTTCATAGTTGTAACTTGTAAATATAAAAAATGTAATTGGTGATATGAAGTTTTACATTTTTGTCCTACTCAGTCTTTTTCTTGCTGTGAGACGAAAGCTGTAATATAAAATCGGAACTGCGTTTTGAATATGAAAACTTTAAAGTGACTATTTTGTAGAGCTGATTGTGGGTTCAGTGTAGCTCAGTTAGTGTCATGCTGAACTTCAAATTCAATGTATTCTTGTACTACTGTGGTAAAGGGCTATCCGCTGTTTGATTCAGTCTAAGTAGAAATGGTTGTCAAATGATAGGTCACTCCTCTTTCTTTACTGTGTTGAAAGGAATGTTGGACTTTTATTGTGCCTTAACACTTTACCATCACATTTTGGGGAAAATCCAAAGAAACAGGGAGGTAAACATCGCCAATCGACGAGATGAGGCGGCAAAGTGTTAACTGTTTGTGAAAGTTGCAAATATAAGACTTAAAAATGAGATAATTTTAAAACCTTTTGACACAAAGTTCCTGTTACGACAAAAGGATTTCCTATCTTCAACCCCCACCCCCACCCCTTTAAAAAAATTTGAAAAATTTATTCCTTGCATTGCAATTTACTTTAATGCAAAATCTGCAGGACTCAAGGAAATGATCAGGTCCAATGAAGTTTGTAATATCAGGGCTTTATGGTGCTCTTGTTATACTATTTATCATGTCTGTGTGCGCTTTACTGGAGATCATTTTTTATTTTGTTTGCTTTAAAGTTTCTTTCCTCGTGTGGTTCTGGTGCCTTAAATTTTGTTTGTGTTTGTTTTATAAGTTAAGTCACATTTTTCACAAACTTATTGGGGTTTCCTGCAAATTACTCCTCAGATGAAATTTTTATGCCCAAATCTGAAGCAGAGCTAGATGGGAATGTGGACGAATTTGAGAGGGAACTGGAAGAATTCAAGAGGTTTGTATCAAATTGTTTAGTGTGTTGATTTCCTTTACTTTTTCCCGAAGTTAATTTTGTCTATTTTTTTTTTCTAGACTGAGAACAGAAATTCAGAGAATAGATGTAAGCTTGTTTTTTTTGTGTTTAAAAAAAAAAAATTAAAAATCTATGTAATAAAGTTGTACAAAGTCTGCTGATGCAGCTCTTGACTTTATATATCTAATGATGAGGGAGTTCCTAAATTGGGAATAGTTTGATGTGCATGACTTTTTTCTGTTTCAAACAAGAGCTTTGCCAAAAAGCTTTGCCTGAATTACTTTAGTGATTCATCTTTTGAGTCTGTGCATCTGGAACATTGCTACCACAGTGTTGAACCCATTCTGCTCGACTGCATATATGTGAGGTGTGCTGACAAAATAAGTTACATCTTGGATTTTAGCCTTATGATGGAAATTTATACCTCAACTTAATAGGTTGAATTTGTACAATTTGTAAGTATGGAATAATAAAATTCATGGTAGACTTGAAGAAAATGGGGTCAATGTAAAATCCGAACCCAGTGTCATTTTTGGCCAGTATCTCCATTCTTGGATCGCGAGAAGTAATTCATTTTGTCAACATGCCTCACATAGGTGAATATTCTTGGTAAAAGAAGGGGAGTGGCTTCAGTAGTTTTTTCCTTCTCTTGCTAAGCATGTCGGTTCAGCAAGTAATCCAATCTACTTAACTCTGTTAAGATACTTTCTTAAGTGGAAGACAAAAAACAAGTTTTTGTGTAGTTTCTTTCAAGAATTGTGAAAAGCAAGAAGATAAGCAAGAAGATTGTAAGCTTTGACCAAAGCATTAAACTGTATTTTAGTGATGTTGAAATGTGCATCTTTGTTAGAGCTTTGAGAAGGCATAAACAAATTTTAATTCTCAAATTTAAGAAGTAAGTAGATTGCTTGCAGCAGCGATGATATGAAGAATGACCCGTGAAAGAAACATTCTGATATCATCTGCTTAATTGTTTGCATGTTCTTCTGCTTTTGCCAGGTTCTGTTTTGAGCCTGCACAGCCCAGAGAAAGGAGAAAGATCCCTGTGAACGTCAACCTGAAGGACATCTTCAAGAAAAAGACCGGCCTTGTTTAGAAATTTCTATCTATTTCAGTTGGAATTATCTTGGAATTTGATACAGTTGTCTGCGCCTAACATCCTGTCGCTTATAGTCCAAGTTTGCTTTTAAAGAACAGGATTTCTACTCTAAAATTTGTAACCCCTAGCAGACTGGCAACTCTTTACTCGTTACAAAGACCTTTCTTTCTAGGGACACATTTTGCTGATTTCAAAGTATGGGGTGAATTTTTTTTGTCTCCGTCTTTTTTTTTCCAGTACTATTCACTCGGCATCCCACTTTTTCTAATTCCTGAGCACATGGGTCTCAGGCAAAGACTACTGTACTATTTTTGAAAACTGCCCTTGAAATGGGCTCATTTCAGGATGTTGCATGTCAGTTTTAGTTTTAAGTGTTTGGTAGCTATTTAAAATTGTGAAAAGAATCCCCAAATTTTGCTTGACACTGAAACATGAATTACATTATTCTGCCTAGTTCATTACATTTTTAGTGAGAATTGTTTCTGCGTCTGCTTTAAACAATGCAAATGCCAGTTGCTCAGAATTTACCAAACTGGAGTTCCTCTGGACTCTCAAGTGAAGTGTTGAAATTATTGCCTTGAAGGACTTGCTCTTCATGTTTGCTTTTGTCTTTTCTAAGCAAGCAAATAGGATGAGAGGCATGAATGGTTCAAAGTATGAAGCTGTTGCCCAACTAAAGGATTAGTTGTGGCGCAAAATGCATTTGCAGTGTTAATTCTTCATGCCCACGACATTGATCGATTACATTGACGTGGTAATTTTTCTTGTTGCGTTAATGTTTTATCTTAGTTGGGCTTTTTCTTTTCTCAGAAGTGTGTTGACTGCATGATAATCTACTGTAACTGGTGTTTTCTACTCATTGCAATGGGTCTTTTGGAGCAAGTCCGGTGTACCACTGGTATGCTTTAAAAAGACGTTTTAGCCTTTGGACTTGCATATATACTTCTGCTAAAATCAGTATTCTGGATGCAAATTTGCATGTGATTTTTTTTTGTCCCCCCCCCGTACTCTATTTTAAGAGATTTTGAATTTTAAAACGGCTGCTTTGTTTGGTTGAAGGATACCAAATTCTGTGCTTATAATTGCATCAGTCTTTGCTAAGCACAAAGCAAGGCAGAAAGACTTAACGTTGATGTTGACTAGCCCTGTGGGCATAAGGCATTGAATGGGCAGATTTGCGTCTTGTAGAACAAAAACCACCAAACCTCTGTGCTGTTTTTTTATGCACTGATGTGGATTTTAGTATGACTCACATGACATATGCTGGCATTTACAAATGTAACGTATGGCACATAGCGCAGACTTTCCATTTACCATACTGTGGTGCATACACTGGTATGGATTTCTCTCCCCCCTCCCCATCCCCCCTTCCATATAAACAAGCCCCCCTGCAGATGGGCCGTTTAGTCACTGGCCTGATTGTGTGTATCTCTGGTTGATGTGCTGGCTTTTGTGTTATTGTATGCTGGCCAGGGTGCCTGGGGGTGTTGCTGAGAGCATGGCCTGCTCATGGGCTGCCCCTTCCTTTCCCCTGGATCATTCACCTCCTCAGAGACTTGCTGGGCTGGTGGTGCTCCTAGCTTGTTGCTGTCGTGGGAGGGCCGAGGAAGGAATGTGTGCACATTGTCACCCATTATACCATGCATTACCTTTGGGTTAACAATACATAATGTACTTTTTCATTGACACATGGCTTTTGTTTTCTATTTTACTTTGTTCTTGTTGCTTTCTTTCTTCCTTTAATTAATACCATACCCCCCAGTTTAATTGGTATAATGTGTCGCTACAATACTGGTGATGAATCTGGATCTTTTCACGGATGTTTCTGTGGTTCTGCCAGCTGTTATGAGTGTGTCCTTATTTTGGCTGTATGTTGTCCAAGTAAGCTCTTCACCAAATCACATAGATCTAAGATTATATATCCATTTAACTGAAATTTGCAGACGATTTTAAGTCCTTTTTCCAAAATGTCTATTGATGATATAGTCTATATTTATACTGGTATACCATTGTCAAGCACAGAGACCAAAATCAAAGTAAATGAGGAAGACTTAAGAATGAGAAACGAGCCCCCCAATTGTATAGATAATTTACTATCCCAAGGAACAATCAAATTTGTTGTGGTGAGAGGGTTGCTCTCTTTAAGGATTTATTTAGCCCAAATAAGCACTTCCTGTATGAAAAGTTAAAATACCAGTGAAGATAAACTAAAGAGCCGTGCCTTTCTTAACAAGAGGTTTTAGTTGTACTCTGTGAGGCAGTGAAACTCAAATTTGAGGATCTTGGGGCTCAACGGAAGAAGGATTCCCTGGTGGTTTTTTATAATTAAACACAAAAATTATTATTGTTAATTAAAATTAAAATCTATAAAATACCTCTTACATATTACACGAGCACTTAACATGTGCAACATGAGCAGCCTCCACTAATGTGGTTTCAGACATTTTTCTCCCTCAACAAACTTTATTTTATTCCAGTTGCCTTGCACCAACGATCAATACAGACTTGCTGCAAGTTGCGCACGTTAAAGATCCCTTGGTGGTCTAAAGTCGATAAGAGTAGGCTTCGGCTGCCACTCGGGGCAAAATTCAAAATTTCTTACCAACTGAAAATTAAGTTTAATGTGTCCAGCGCACTCATATGACCTTATGCAGTTGCGAGCACCATAAAACACTTACCAAAAAAAAAAAAAAGACTTGCGGCTTATCATTCACTGTGCACTATGATTGACCTTTCAGAGGGGCACACCCAATTTTATGAGACCAATCGGAAGCCCTTTTCTCACACCAAAGCATGTTGAAGATGTGTGCAAGACATGGGTCTGGCTATGTGCTTGGGTTGGGAGAGGTTGGATGGGCGGCCAGTACACAATTCACTTACTGTAGTCTAGAGATAATTTTGTCACTGCAGAACTATTTTGTCCAAAGTATACTTGAGATTAAGACAATAGTTCTGAGGCGACAGCGTGCTTGACTAAACTCTGAATGTGTAAAATGAGTATTCAATTCAGAGTCATTTTTGTGTCATAAACCTCGACTAATTGGGACTGAAATGAATGCTGCAAGTTTTTCACTCAGCTTGCCCTTCACTTGTGATCCACTGACAGAAACATGCATTGCTATTTGGAATGTCCGACAACTTTTGGTGATGGCATGGCGACCTCATACCCCTGTACTAGTAAGAACAAATCTTGTTTTATTTCTCCTTCAGTGAATGAAAAAAAACCTGAGTTCATAAAATTTTAGTATAGATTTTAGTAAGTTATTGTGACAACTTCCAATTTAGGAACAATCAGTTTCATTAAAAAATATAAACCAACGTACAAAAGTTTAAAAAATGCACAGAAAATTGAGGTAACCAACTCGGCACTGGTACTAATACTGAGGCTTATTCCATACCAATACCTTAGACTTGAGTGCGAGTCCTCACTTACGTAAATAAAAGCCCCACGGACATTCGCTACCTCTGTAACTGTTAGTTATTGGGCTGATTTTTGGCGACGCCAGATATTTTGCCTAACGACCGAGATGGCAAGGTTCCTTTAGTATTAAAGTATCTACAGGCACTTAAACTTAAAGATTTAGTTCCAATTTTTCTATTAATTATTTATTATGTATATTGACCAAGGCCAAAATACAATACATACATGTAATATCATTTTCATCAGCGTATCAAATTTAGTCAGATTCACGCAGGGAGCGAAATTTGATGCTGAATTACAAAGTTATGTATTATTTTGATTGTTTTCTTTTACAATACACTACACACATACATTGTATTGTGTTTGTTTGCGGAACACCTCATCACTGTCGATCTATCCATATTGCCTGAAATCTACAAGTACAAAACAAGTGTGTGGAGAGGGAGCAAATCGGCGAAAAGCGTTTCATCTACAATCTAGACATTGGCCCAACTCATAGAGACATGTGTAAAAGATCATCAAGCAACCACTGAACGGATGTGCCGTGCGCCATGTGTAGCCTAGTGTGTACTCGGTACTTCTGATGGCCAGTTCGCTGGCGGTACAACAGGGTAAATTTACAGTAGTTTAATGAGGACAATACTACTGATACTGATATAGTTTGCGGTGTAAAGTCACAAATACATATTGTACTATGTTTATATAGGCTCAATATAGGGGATTCTTTTCGTACATTGGTAAAGCCTGGCGGTACATGTACACCGGGGCTGGCGGTATAAGGGGCGATGGGGGGTGGTACAATGGGGTTTGTCTGTATTACTGTATTGTGTCAGAATATAATTTAAAGATTTGGTTTCCCATTATGTACACGTATTGGAGCGGTTGATGGAAAACAATCGCGCCTAAGTTTAACCACTGCTTTTGATATTAAAAAAAAAAATTCTTACAGACAAACTAGCCATTCCTCCACATGACTTCATCGCTGACAGTGTCTTCCCATTGTGAGATAACGTAATGAAACTGTTAGCTCGTCTTCAGCTTTCTTCACACAAAAAAGACATTTTTAATTAGACTACCTCGAGCAAGAAATAGTGTGGAATGTTCATTTTTGTTTCCTTGATCACTGCAGCAGTTGTAGTTTTTGTCTCTGCACCCCAATTTGCTCAACAGACTGAATTTTAATTGGTGCCGTCATAATGCACTGGTGCTTTATGACAAAGGCGGTGGAACTAAGAGATAGAAAGCTATATAAATTGGGAAGAGCAATAGGATTGGCATAGATCTGTCCCTGTGGTTTTATGCACCCAGCATAATTTAGTAAAATTTGATCATTTTTTGCGTAATTTCTGATTATTTTCCTTATCATTCTTAGTTGAAAATTAACAGAATCGCGTAACTTCACATTTTTGGGCTCAGTTTGCATAATTTCAGAATTTTTCTTTCATAATTCGCCACGAGCCATAAACCACTGAGATCCCGCGTTTTCCCTGCTCCCAAGCACCAGGATCTTAAGTGGAGGCTACAAAAATAATTGCATTTATATAGCACATATCCTCACTCTACAGCATGCTTGATGTCATCAATCATCATCAATGCCTTTCACCCCTGGCAAGCTATAGGACACAGTATACAAGCTCCTTCCATTTATCCCTATCCTGGGCCATCCTTCTTAACTCGTTCCAAGTGAGCTTCATCTCTCTCATGTCCCTTTTCACCCATCTCCTCCATGTCTCTCGTGGCCTACCCCTGCCTCGTGCTCCCTGTGGGTTCCATTGCAGTGACTGTCTTATGATGTTTCCGCTGGGCTTTCTGAAGGTGTGTCCAATCCAACGCCACTTTGTTAGTCCTATTTCTACTTCTATCCTTTTGTCCTGTCCTTTCCCATAGCTCTTCTTTTTTTAATTCTATCCTGCCACTTAATTCTTAGGATACTCCTCATACATCTGTTGATGAAAGTCTCCGTGTGCTTACAACAATTATTATTAACACAGTAGACCCTAGAACTTGAATACTCAGAAACATTCTTGGCTTCTCGGGAAGCATACATAGATAGTGTAAGCTGCCGATTAAGTGCTCAAATACTAACAAACTGACAAGTTTCTTGCCATTGTCTGGGTAGGCCTATGTAAACTCTGTTGGAATAGTTGCCATCTCTTTTGTCATAAAGAGGTTTTCTTTTTTGTACTGCTGCAATGAGAGCTTCCCATTATAACAAATGAGCAAAACAAAGTTGCTGGGAGGTAACTGGGAGAAATTTTAACAGAAAGAAAAGACCTTTGCATTCAGCTCAGTAACTGGGAGAGGCAGGGAAGCCAGAAAAAAAAAGGAGGCAGACTCACTCAGTTTGCGATCGTTAATTATGAGACATTTCCAGTTATTCATGAACTGGGAGGAAAGGGCAAGCAAGCAGAAACAGAGAGGAAAGCAAAGCCACTATTCTGTTACATTTTAACAATGAGATGTGTCAGATTCTCCACACAAGACAAACCCAGCTTAAAATGAAAAGTAGAAAAATACAATACGTTGGTCATATAAAATGCCACAAAACCATAATGAAGGAAATTATACTCTAAGGTAAGATGAGGGGCAAAAGGGAAAGATGGACAAAAACAAACACGTCTAGGCATGACTGGCCTAAGTATGACAAAATGTCAAAAGTAGCTTACGATTGTAAGCACTGGTGGGTCATTGAACATCAGGGACGGTCAACCTCTGAGCCAAAAATGACCCCCTTAGTATTCAGGTATGACTGCATGTGTGTGATAGTGATAGAAGAGGTATCACATTTTTATTAAATCTCACTCCCCCTCTTCATTGATAATGAAAAAAAAAGAAGACACTTTTCAAACATTGATCAAAGAGACTTATCTCAGGGTGCTGACTTTAAATTCCATAGAATGACCATAATTATTATGTTGTGGTGCTTCTCTACTCAAACAAACAAGCACAAGCATTTCAGGCAACTCCTCAGTGAATCTGGGTTTGTATGGTTGCTGTGTGGAGCACTAGGACCTTTTGTACAGTGCTGTACAATGTACAAATGTCGACTCTCTTTCATTCACATTCTTATTTAGTAATAATATTTAGAGGTCCATCACTACTCACAGATCAAATACACCTCACACAGCATTTGAAGTATGATTATTTTATTCCATATATTTTAAATTCAAGAGACATTTACAGCACCTGTGTATGTAAACCAGTCATGTACCTATTCTTAGCTTTCCCCCTTTAAAAAAGGGAGAAACAATTGTTGATTTAAAGTGTTCAGTTCACAAAATCACAATACGTTATCCAAACATAGCTGCCAACCAGTACGTAAAAAGAGTATTAAGTTTAGTATGTTTTAGTGTAAAAATGGGAAGCCTTCAAAAATACGTATTCTCCATTTTCTTTTGTACTATTGCTCCCCGTAGACTTGCTGATGCTGAAGAAAAATTATGAACTTTCAAGATCAGATTTGCAAATAATAAGGAGAATTAATCCCATAAAAAGACAATTTGAGAGATCTTTTGCTGCGAGTCTGTCTTGAACAGCTTGAATTTATTGATTGCAGAAAAATGTGCGTGAAGGGTTTAGAGGGCGGATACTTAGCCCACCATCTTGACCTACTTCATGGGCAGTCTGCAATTATTGGTTTTGAAAAGTTGGCAGGTATGTCAAAAGATGTGTAAAGGAGACTTAAACTGAAACAAAAAGTATAACTTGAATCTTAGCTGCACTTTTATAATTGCATACCTCAAAAAACTAACGGAACTGGTAGTTTAAATAAGAGCACGACTAACCAGTCACTTTCAACACTTCCCTTCTCCTTGAAACAAAACCCAGATAATAATTTATGTGGACATTCAAATTTCCTCGCTTATACTTTCTTTGAGAAATTTCTCTCTCTCAAATCCCTTCAATCCCCAAATCACACACACACAAACACTACACAAACCAATATTAGCTCATGTTCTTGGCACCCTTCTCAAGTACTTAAACTAATTCTTATATCGCAGCCTGGTGGAATCAGGCGCTCATCAATTTTGGAGCATATATATAAATAAAGTTATAAAGTTATTGTCAAATTAAAGCTTGTGTATTTTTCTTGAGCTTAATGGAAAAAAAGTATTGATTGCATAGAAGTCTAGTCTAGATATGTGTCATTTAAAAATATGCCTGATGTTACAAGTGAAATTACTAACAAAATGGCTGCCAAAGTTTGGTGAACAAAAGTTGTTAGCCATATTGCTGTCATCTCATAAAGCTTCATTTCAGGGTTTTGTTCAAGACTTATAAATCTCTGAACATATTTTCATTACAACACAGACAATCAATGTCCTGTGTATCCCCAGCCTATTTATGACCTGGCCTGTTGAGTTAGGACAACAAATCCCATTTACACATGAATGTATTCCAGACTAGCTGCACAGGTACATGTATTGTGTGTATGCTTAGCAATCACACTAAAAGTTTCTCCTTTCCTTTCTTTCTCATCAGCTTCCCATCACAGACACACACATTCAAACACACAAAGATTAAGTGAGACAGACAGCCCCAAAGGCAATGAAAACAATGCTTTTACAAAGAATGAAAAAAAACCCAGAGGAAGGGGCAAAGATAAATAGCAATACTATGATGTAGTCTGAAGTGACAGATCAGGGTCCTAATAGCAATAGTAGATAACTATAGGAAAAAAATGCTTAGTAATGTACAATTCAATTCATTCCAAAATCTCAACAAGTGTCTTCCTATGTTGGCTTAATCAGATCATCCAGGTAAAAAACCCATTCTGGCATAGCAACAACAATTAAACCTCTTCTCTCATCCAAACATGACCAAATCAACACAAGACTAAAGAAGGTACACTGTATCCCTACATAATCAGAAATCATCACTGCTCACACCACATCAATTTATAATAGACTGGAGAATTCATTATTTACACAGTCAAATCATCTATGTTATGGGAACTTCAATGGGGAGAACACATTTTTTTAAAAAAAATGACCCTGGTTATTTGGTTTTATTTGCACGTTCTTGTATTCTATTTCTTTTACAGTCAGCAGCTACATCTCAGTCAGGTGTAGCTGACAGAAGGTCCTGCAACCCACAGAGTAAAACTGATTTATAAAGTACATATAGGGCCTACATGATGTACATGCATTCCTCATTTTTCTGCAGATTGTAGATATCTATACAAGTATCACTTACCTCTAAAGCAGCCATATATGATAACTTCAAAGCTTCACATAAATTATTCATATTAACCACTGTTTCTTTGATTTTAAACACCCTGAAGGAATTAAAATTAAATGAAAGCCTGAACTGTCACTCCAATGTAAGAATTTTGCCCTGGTGAAAAATTAAGCCAATTTTCAGATTTTTCTCCATCCACCCATAAGCACGGGGTAGACTTTATGTACCTTGCCCATGCCCAAAATCAAACATAAGAAGGCCCCTCTTTTAAATAAAATAAACATACAGACAGCATTCTCTGCCAACATGCACTCTATGACAAAAAAACATTCTGCTAAACTGTACACATTTGTTTCATGAAGTATTCTTTGAATCACACAGAGGACCCTTCGTAGACCTATTTCTCTTTTAAAAAAGAGCAGAGGTAGCAATTAGAAAGCCAAACAATTGGCTTCACATTGATATTTGAAAGAAAAACCAAAGAAAAGAAGCATGAGCGCTCCACTGCACATTGGTGTTTTTAGGCAGGGAATACAATACAATGTTTCATGGAGTAAGGCAAAATTAAAAAAAACTCAGTGCTTTAGTGCATGCTTGTTGGGTCGGACAATGGAAGTGACATCAGCATCAAAGGCTTTGAAACGATACTCAATATCTCTCCGCCGCTCCAATAGCTCACCATGCAACTCTTCAGCCTGTGGGGGGTTAGAGATTGGGGGAAAGAAAAAGAGAGATAGAGATGACAATGTCATTTAATCACTTTCAATGGGTCATGAGTTAAGTACAATCATTTTCAGGTATGTGCAAATCATTTATATTGTAAACTCGAATTAGTCCTTCAAAACATATTTAAGCGAAACAAAAGAAAAGCTCTTGAGTCTGTCAAAAATGAATCACTACATAACTTTTCCTCTTTCAATCCGGTAATTTCAAAGTCAAATACATGTACCTTCAAGGACAGTAAAAAGATCTCAATGATATTCATTCGTAAATCAAACTCTGTGAGCACAATCATAATCTAACTTTTCATTCCTACACTTATCCTCAGAAAAAATTTTTGGGGTCAATACTCATAGTCTATATACAAAAATTTAATACATCTGTTTGAACAGTTTCATTCAAGAGATAAAACTGTAAAACAAATTGTTCAACTCAAATTACGTCGAAAGGATCTGGAAATTGATAAAAAAGCAGCTCAGGCAATGTGCAGCATTCATTGACAAAATACATGTGTACAAGTAATACAAGACAAGTTGAAAGCATTGTAAAAGCTGTTACTCCAACTACAAGCTTTCAAGCTTTTTAAAAGTATTAACAGGGTATCTCCCAAAATTTACTCACGAATAGCTGTGCAAATAAATTATAAATTATAGACTCTATCCAAGCAGGAAGTCATGCATTCTTTTCCAAATTTTATCTTTTACTTTTAGTACACGATGTAAATGTAAGCGGGACATGATTAGCATAATATCCAACAAATGGAGTAAGAAAACAATGTAGAGTGGATGAACTGGGAGCATGAAAGAAAAGCACTTTGGTAAATAAAATAAAAAACCTAACTAAAACCCCCACAAAACACAATAACCAAACAACTCTAGGCAGTTAGATTGGTGAGTCCACTGGTGAGTCATATCAACACGTAAAGAGGAAAGTGTGAAAAAGTCCAGCTAGTGAACAAAATTATACAAACAGTAGCAGTCAAAGGGGGGTCAACATATGAAGTTAATTGAAGGCTGAATCCTCCCTCCCATTCCATTCAATTTAATGAAATAAGTTATCTTTTCATCTTGTTGCATTTGTCACACTATACACACAGTTGAAATTAAATGGTAAAACACTGAAGACAGGATTTCTCATTATCATGACATGAAAATGAAACAACCGGCAAAAAGCTTCTTTTTTTTTTTTAAGAAAGAAAAACATTCAAGACAGAATCAACCATGATTATGAAACGAGCATACTAACTACACACAATGGGATGCATATATATACAAAAGTTGCATTTCAGGGATTAACCACTTATATTGCATCCACCATCACCAATCAAATTCAATAATTAAGTTTGTTAAGCTGGGGTCATTAGGCCTAAGGCAAACAAAATCCTTTACTCATGCCAACATTTTTAAAACTCTCAAATGTACTATTATATTGTCAAAATAATTATCCTCAAGCAAAGGAAACTACTTTTGAGTTATCTAAGGAAAAGTAAGCCTGCCTAAAGAACATTATCTGAACAGAACACATGTAGTTTATAGCTGTATACCATTACATAAATAATACTCTATGTACGTTGAAATAAAATATTTTGCTCTTTGATGAATGCTTTTTTACAGGAGGTGTCTCATGCTATTTTGAGCCAATATATTGGGTGCCTGGGTGTTCTTTCCCTGTTTTAAGACAAGGAGAATAATTGTGAGCAACGTGGTCACAGAGGTTCAAGGAAATGGGAGACAACTAGATCTAATAAGAGCAAAAAGGGAGGAGAAACAGATGAGTGGGATAAACTACAGAATATCTCAGAGGGTCATTCACTACTAGCTGTGTAACACTTAATAACAGTAGAAAGTGCATATTTACTGAGACGAATGCAAGTACAGTAACAGTTGTCTTATAATTTCATTTTAGTGATAAAAAGTGCTAGCTTTATGAACTACATGAAAAAAGGGTACGTAACGACAAGAAGTCATAGCAATGTCAACACACCGTTAGAGAAAAGTCACTGAAAGTGTTAACCATATTACGGTTCGCTTAGTGTTTAAGAGAACATAACTTTCTGTAAAATGATTTCAAATAATAAAAACTTCTTAAGATCTATGGATGTCACGCCATCACTATTTATTAGCAAAAAAGTGGAAAACAAAACAGTACAAGGATCAAACATCCTTACTAGCAATCACTTTTGATCGTTTACTTTTGGAAGGATGTAGAAGGGTTACTAGGAAGAAAACATCAAACTTTTAACAAGTGTATTTTTTCCCAGAAGGTCCTTCCTTTGACTTAATTTTTTGCTGTTCCCTTCTAAACAGAACTGAGAATGATATTTCAGCTACTGTGTGGTACAACTTCTCCTATGAATGATAACACACTTTTTCCCAAAACAAGACATCATAAAAATATATATATGCTCAAAAGTCTTTCTTAAATTATAAAGTTTCATAAACATTTTAAATCAAAACACACTGAAGTCTGCTATAACTGAACACAGTTAATTCGAAAACACTGGTAAACCAAAAGAAAATAGAATCTCAGATTTTAGTCTACCCTTCTTGAGCAATCTCCCTAAACCAAAAATACGGCTAAACCAAAGAAAATCCAGCTGGCCCCCAGATTTTGGTTTAAGAGGACTCCACTGTACAAGACCACCACAATGTGAACGCATCATTCCCGTCAATGTTACACGGATGACTAAACATAGAGACAGCAACAAAATACAACCATTCAAGAGGAAACTATATATATATTGTACACGTTATGACAATGCTAAAGACAACTTTTGTCAGGCACAATGAAAGGTGGTGCAGGTTGGGAATTTTATAATTCTCTAGGTAGCATCCAGTGCACTAAAACATTATTTAAAACATACCCTAGATCCTGGAAAGCCTTCCTTTGCTACCTCTTTTTCTTTTCTTCTCTCTCTCTCTCTCTCTCTCTCTCTCTCTCTCTCTCTCTCTCTCTCTCTCTCTCTCTCTCTCTCTCTCTCTCTCTCTCCTCCATAATCTCAAATTCATTTAGGTGACACATCCAGTGCTGTGGGGATTTCCCATTACACAAAAAATAAACCAAAAGCCTTCTATGGGGTCCAAATATATCGTATCTCATGCTTAATTCAGATAAGCTGTAGTGAGGAACAAGTGCCACTAATCTGTTAGCTGCCATGCACAAGCTGATGCAGTGAAGACATGAGTCGGTTTTTCAAGCAACTTTTCAGTCCTTATATTGCTTGCAGTACCGGAATACTCAAGTACCTATATTTGTTGACAGCTTTGCGTCAAAACGACCTATTGTATCTCTTGCATGAAAACGAAAAATTCAAACGAAGATGGAAGGAACAGTTTCATGTTTAAACAATAGGATGTAATAACAAAACCGAAATTAAATAAATCGGTACGTGTTCGCACAGACTATGGAAATAGAGTGGGTGCAGTACCAGCAAATCTTTGCCTTAAGAAAACTTGGGGGTTAAAACATGACCTGAACCACTAATCAGAAGCTGGTCCAACAACCATGAGCCACAGAAATGTAAAGCCAGAGAGGGTTCCTTCCTGCACCACCAAACTCACCATACCTAGGTCACACTGTTAACACTGCCTGGCCTGGCAAAGAACCGCAAGCGGGACTTCCTAGACTCGCCTACAGCAAAGGACGAACAACATGACTATGGTCAAAGAGCCAGGCCGTCGAGTACATATATAATATGATAAATTCAGCTTGGCCACATGCCACATACCATGTCCTTTAGCTCAATCTAAAATTCACTCTTTGATGAGAGTATTACATTATTTTCAAGCACCGATAATGATACTATTTCATCATAGCTATATAACATCAAGAATCTTGAGCTATATCTCATTATCAAGTATATTATAATTATGTGGGTAGGTAGATCACAGGGAAGATTAGAAGAGGTCAAATTTCCATTCTATATTTCTATGATCACGATGCATCAAGTGAAGCTTAAACTTTAAAAGGCAATATTTCAAACACTCCCCACCCAATTCCTAGTATATCAAGAAAACAAGTGCTAACCCATTTCAGAAAGTAAAATGCCGGAAAAGCAGATAGGAACAAGTACTTGAGTTTTTTTTTCCTCTTCATAATGTGAAATAAGAACAGACTTAAGGAATACAAATTCCTCTATGGTCTCCCGTAGCAAATTGAGCACGACAGTGCTTGCAAAAATGAAGTCAAGAGCTTCACTTAATGCAAAGACTTTTCAGCCAGGACAAGATAGCAAGCAAAGGCACACGTTTTTATCACTCCTAAGCATTATATATTAGGGGAAAAGCTTTCAAAAACCTTTGAGTATCTTCTCTCATGCATAGCACATTAATCAAGTTCATTAGGCACAGATTTAAACATGATAACCATGCAAATGTGAACGGTATGATCTGGTGCATCATTCATAAGAACTCATTAACTTGTTACTGCACAAACGTGATGCAAAATGTTCCAACAGTACCCATACCACAGAGATCTGGTGGCTGGCATTATTAAATTGTACAGTGTGAAGACACCCTTGTGATGGTGCACTATCACACAAAGGAAATCAGTGATGGATGGTGTTCATTATGATTAGGAGTCAAAATTCTAAGAAACCTGATTCAAATACAGACCATATCAAAAAAGGAAACAAAGTAGCATCACCACAACACCCCACCCCACTGTTTTCCCCAATCTTTAAACTCATAATGAGAGCCATTTTTTTTTCATCTGGGAATAATTAATTTTCCTAGATATGACTTTCTTACATAGCAGTAAAAGCTTGAAAGACAAATCTTATCCAGGATCTCACAAAATATTTTCTTACTTAATCCTAACAGGAGAAAAGAATGAGCGTGCACTAAGGAAAATGAAGTTTATTATGTCCCATTATAAAACAGCCCATTAAAACAAACTCCACTCAATTAATAGTATTGCTTTGAGTCCCCTATCTTGCCGGCAACAGAATCTCCTCCTAGAATGAGAAGCACCACACTCTGGGCGTAGAAGGCTCACCATAATGCAAAGCTAAATTGCTTGAAAAAGATCTTACTTTCCTTATCATTTGTTGAGCAGGGAACAAGCATTTTCACTATTCTTATACCCAGTAGGTGAGGTAAGCTATAAAAATTGGAATTTTTGTCAAGTTGATAGTGAAAAAAGGAATTACAGAAAATCTGCGGAGGTCCTTGCAGTTTCTTTCTATGGTTTATCGACAAAGTACCGACCTCCTTATTTTCTCATTCATGTTCAATAGTGGCACAAGAAAAAAAGTTGTTTTTGTCCATGTTTCCTCGTCTTGATCTAATTAGAGCTATTGTGGAAAAAAGCACTGCGGTAAGTACACATTCCTAAGTCTGTGATTTGAATTCATTTGAACAAAAACTTGTGAACTACGTAAGGCAATCACACTTTCAATTCACAGTACATTGAGCGTCTCTCAGCCCTAGCTTTTCTCATCAAGCCAGTTAAACATGGTACGGAGTGTGTGAGAATTTGTTAACAACCTGCACTCCAAGCCTTCAGCTCTTGATAACGCCGCATCAGGTCACGTTGCAAGTTTTTCACCTGAATCAGGGGAGGAGCAAGCAAGGGGAAGGTCACATATAAACTCACAGATAAAGCACAACAGGATAAATTTGCACATGATGAGGATCTGAGTGTTCCCAAAACTGAAAAAGTAAAGAGAATCAAATGTGCTCTCAAACTTGCACTGCAGGCAATTGGTAACAAATCACAGGTTGTAATGTTGGTGTAAACAGTATGTCAGTCAACATAAATTCTGTTCAAAACAGAGACCAAAATGAAAGGAAAGGATGTAAAAGGATGATGAGATTTGAACTTTATGATTTCAGTTTTGGTAAATTAGCTTGCATAAGTTGTAAAAATCTTTTACTGAAATAACTTTCACAAAAAAAAGGCATGAATCTTAACAGGCGGATTTAAAGATATACTGAAGCAAAGCATTTCTCTTAGCTTTTAGACTTCAGACAGTGAATTCATCACCCTTTTTGACAACTGACATAAGCTAAAAATGTTTTAATCATGATGTGCATAACATTGTTTGCTCTTGAGTGTGACATAAAAAGAAGAATGACAAGCAAGAAAAAATGATCGCAAAGTGTATTGCAATTTTAACGGAAGTCCAAATTTCAGAAGGCCTACCCTTTTTTCTTGAAAAAAATCTGACATTTTCTCTTGTCATTTCTCTGATAAAGTGTGAGTAATAATGACACTCCTTGAGCACCTTCAAATACCACTCAGTACCAGTTAAAAAACATAATAAGATTGTTACTCCACAAGGGATAGGAGGTAGCGATGAGCCTGTATATATATATGGGTTAGAATTATGACTTTTTCCCATTCAGGGCTTCCAAAAGTCAAATATAAGTATATTTGTATTATTATTATTCCCTGAGTGGAAGGTTATCTAAAACGGGACAGAATTCAACTTATTGAGGGTCCATTGCAATAAAAGTTTGTTATAAAAGCAAAAAGTATTAGGTTTTGTTAAGTTAAGTTTTTCAAAAAAGGGACCGGGGAGGGGGATGTAGCTAACAATGTTTTAAAAGTTTTAAGGAGAAATAAAAGATTACAAGATTACTCAGTAACATATGAACATATTGTGTTACCATAATCTTGAGTGATATCAATAAATGAAAAGATGAACATTTATTCTGTTCAATTGCCCCATGAACAGCCACAGTATATTGAATATATACGAAAAAAGAAAAAAAAAACCAGTCTCCATATCTATCATTTGTGTTTATCGTCAGTCATGCCTTCTTAAACCAGTGCTTTATCCAGCATTGAATTAGAATAGGCTTTTCATAATAACTCAATTCTCATCATCCTTTAATAATTAAAATTTCAGAAATAAAAAAGAATCACTGATTTGAAAAGCTGCGTGGAGTGCTTGCATAGAAAAGAAACAAACTTCAAATAGACAACACTGCAGTTACTGAACGCAAAGTGGCATTTCAAGGAAAAATTGTTGTGCTGTTAGCTTGACACAAATAAGAAAGGGAAACATCCATGAACTTATTGAAACTTTTTGTAAATAGATTTTAAACGTCGCTGACCAAAAGTGGTGCATACTTTAAATGCTAAAAAATTAGCATGCATAAAGACACAATCATAGCATAGATATCACGTAGATTGAAGAATCTGCAAGTTGGCTATCTTAACAAATTCATACACAAAGCTTTTAGGAATCAAATTATCAAACAATTATAAGCTTAAGGGGAAAAAATATTTTAAAGCATGCATCTTAACACAAAATCTTCCTACCACAGGGATAAGAAACCCAAAAAGCCAAACATACAAAATACATGGAAGAGAAATGCTAGGTTCAAGAACATGAGGGTTTCTGTCCTGATGACAATTCCCAACTTTCTATCCCACTAGTACCCGTAAAGTCCTAAAAAGAAACAAGAGAGTTAAGGAAGAATTCAACTTTTCTACAATACAAGAAGCATTGAACATACAGGGTTTTCATGCTCCTAAATCCCTTCCCAAAAGACAAAAAATGGGTAAGAAAGCAAAGATACTGCAGAGCAAAAACTGAAATAGAAAAGCCAAGCTGCGCACACTGTGAACCAGAAAGTTATTGGACCAAACTGTCAAAACTTATTCTCTGGTTATACACAGTCGGTTAGGTAATTTCAACAGGAGAGACAAATGCTCACATTATTCAGTTTATTGATTTCTATCTAAACAATTGTTTGACAGCAATGTTTTTTAAAGTGATATTTCAGACAAACATTCAGCTCATATAATACTCATTAGCAGCAGAAATGGACTTTAAAAGATTTTTCCTTGTTAGTAGGGGCCTTAGGTAAAGTCAATGAACTTTTGAGATTAAGTTACAACCAGTGTTCAGAAAAAAATCTGATTAAATGTCAAAAAGATTTGGCTGTGCAAAAAGTACATCAGTTTCATCACACAGATCAAACTGTTTTTTTTTCTTCCAACAGACACAACTGTGCATTTAAAATAGTGAAGAAAATATTATGCTTTTCATTTTTTTGAGAGGTGGTGCTAAGATGATATATCTCAACGTAATTTTACAAGGCACCACACTGTGTTTTTACACCTCCTATCATGCCTAGAATGGATGGACTATTTGTTATTAAAATTGAACAATAAATTGTTGCATAACTGTCAGAGCATTTGTCCACTATAACCTTGAGAGACAGTCAGGAAAATGGAGCTTCACACACTCATACACAAAACTAAAGAAACTAGGTCTCACAATCTCCAGTTCTCGGCGAGCAATCTCCATTTCATGCTGGGGAGTTCCTTTTGGCTGCTTTCTTCTCTCAACCATTCCAGCAGTGTGTTCCTTAATGCGCTTCTCCAGATCTCGAATTCTGGCTTGTCTGAAATCAGTCCAAAGATTTTCATTGAAAGAGCTGATTTAACTGTCACATCAAATTGCACAATGCAGCATGCAAAAAAAAAACCCCAACCAACGCATGAATTTAAATGATAAGACACACACTGCTTACCCATATCAGAACAAACATGGAATTCAAGAAAAAAAGTGAGATGAAGCAGAAAGACTATGAAGAATGATGTCAGTGGAAAGCTTAAAGTAGAGACTGATTCACACAAAACCATATTTTTGTGTGTATGTGTGTATATTTGATATGAGGTGTGTATGAACTCACTTCTCATGCTCTATTCGTTGTCTAGTGGCTGGAGAAACTGATCGTTGGTCTTTTATCTCTTTTTCCCGCCGCAAATCATCCTGTCAGAAGAGAAAAGTATTGCCTGACACATGTGACAAACAGTCATCATCTTGAAGAAAAATTGGGAGACAACATTGTGAAATCAGGCACTCGTCAAAATAACCAAAGTGAAAAAACTGGCATTTTTCTGCAGGTTTGTGAATGTTTATCGAATTCTTGATTTTTGGCTCAACACCTTTCATGCCCAATAAAGAACACATTTTTGTGTGGATTTTACTGAAAAATATTGATAAAAGGCACAAAAAGGTAGAAATTAATGGTAAAAATGCAATAGTAAAATACCAATCTGTGCAGTGAAACACTCAGTAAGTATCATCAAGAGCATAATTTTAGAAATCATCCAGCTGGCCTACGAAGCCGATGGCCTTGGTTCAAATCCTTACAGAGTCTTTTGAACCAGGGTTGTTTCAGGAAGTATTTACCCCTCTCCACCCATTTGTCTCAGTCCTATCGGAGATGCACATTAAATTCTAAGCACCTGCCTCTTAAATAATCTAACAGTGTTGAAATGAATGCAAACCTATACAATAACCATAGTAATCATCCATCCTTTTAAAGATTCAATCATTCTTACCCGTAATCTCTCTTCTTTAGAAAGCACCTTCATTCTGTCTTTTTCAACACCAAATGGAGCTTGTTCGGCAGTGACTTCATAGTCTGAATGTGAACGATAAAAAGAAAATAGGCAGGGTAGAAAAAAATTGATTGCATACAGAATCCCGTCATCTCTGGTCATCAAACACAATTGAAATAACTGTACTGTGTCCATTGATTTCAAAAACAAAGTGAAAAATTTTGTTCACTTAAAAAAAAACCATGAGCATAATTTTAACCTCCTACCTTTTCCTGGTAACAAATTCTGGGTGTATTTTTTCTGTTGCAAAGTTTTTGACTCGTCTCGCCAGTTCTTTAGCATTGCATCATCCCTGGAACAACATTGAAAAAAGATAGTGAAACTATCTGCATGGATACCCTAAAGACATTAAAACCACTGTTCAACACAGCTACACCATGTCATTATATTTATATTTCATTATGAATTATTGCAGAATACGTCCATCCAAAAAAGTGCGGACAGCTCCAGTGAAAATCATGCACAGATTTCTGAACCCTTTGAGCCCTAGCCACCAGTACACCGGTAGCACAAAAAACTGGCCGTATTCCTAGCCATTAGTAAAGTGATGAGTGGGACCCCATCCCCAGCCCAGCCCGTGCGGGGACAAAACACGCTTGGGAAACTGTGTTTACTACATACGATGTTTCTGATTATTTTGAAGATCTTATTGAATTAGATACTAGTAATGACGAAGACTAACATGAGTGAAATATGGAATGTGATTCTGACGATCATAGTAATGTCTGTAAAAGATCGCTCGGGAGCTCAGGAAGGGTTACGCATCATTCAGTAGGCCAACATAATGGGCATCACAGAATAGAGTCTTACAATTCTTGAATTTAATCATCTCTGCTCTTGCTTAGACTTCATCTTCTTAAAGACAAAAATGAGGCAACAAAATATGACAAATACCCTCAACACCTTTCCACATAAAAACTTTATTCCAATTACCAAAAGTCTTACACCAAAAGGGATCTTCCTGCCAAGCATAATTTCTTATGAGACTTGCAGATATGTGTATTAAGAAAAGAATAACAGCAGAAATTCCAAGACAATAGCAAGAGCTGCACAGGCAGAAACAATGTGAAGATCTCGGAGCTAATGGAATAAAGAGGCATTACTGCATGCCTGCAAAATCTCTACCCCCACTACAGCTACAAAGACTGATATCAACAACTTTCACTTATTATAGAAATGTTTTGTTTAAATTGAAATTGAAGAAAGGGAGTCTGAATCAAAACAGAGAAACATTCCAGTTTCTCTCTTGGTCTGAAACACACACACACACCCTGCAAAGAAAAAAAAAGGAAAAATAAAAGTAAAATGAAATAGCCTCACTTCCGCCTTTGCAATATTGCATCTGTTTTTTCTCTGAATTCCTTCACTCTGGCAAGCTGCTTCTCCTCATTCATCCTAAAAGCTGCATATTCTTGAGGTGGGGGACTAGGATACGGGTTCACCTTCCAGGACATCTTGCTTTGTTTTTTCTTTTTCCTGGAACAAATATTTCAGAACAGATTAAGACTATATAATAAAGAGGATTTTTGACACAGTTTATCATTTGCAACATCTATATTGAGGCATCTATCAAAATTTTGCCTAACCATGATATTTGAAACTCAAAATGAACGTTCTTTTTCAGTCAATGTGACTACACTTCTCAAACAAAGGTACTATTTTGTAAGGAATGAGTTTCAAAAAGCTATAGAAATCTTTCTCATAAGGAAAGTTTTATAAACCATACTTACTTCACCATGTAAAATTAAATTGAGTGTAATAAGGGAATCATCCCACAAGTTTAAGTCAATTTTCAACTGAAACAAAACGCACAACTCAACTCAAATTTGTTCAAAATCTTAGTCAATTCTCAAAGTTGATAGGACAAAAGAACAAAAAGATTTTTAACTCAGCTGCAAAATTTTTTTTTCCAAATATTTAAACTTTACTGTAAATCGTAAAAAGAAAACCACATTTGCAGGCCATTCAGCCAGAAACTAACTTTCAAAGGGGCAAATTTATTTGAAACATTTCTTGACAAAGAAGTGTAGACAACTGCATAAAGGTAAAAAAAATTCAATAATCTAGCATTTTGTGAGATAAACTTTTATTTCGTCTAACTTGAGAAGAGGTAAAAAATACAAAATAATTTCAGAGGGCAAAGCTGGAAAACTTGTCAACAGCCTGCTGTGCAAAAGGAATGTTTCTATGCTGCTTCTATGAACTGAAACTATTCTTATAAACTTGTATCAATTTTTTTTACTGAGAAATCTTCAGCATGTTGAGAAGTTCAAATCTATGCCTTCAAATGTACAGAGTATTCATACAACAGATCTGCAATCATTCAGTTATTATAAGTTCATTATTACAAAAAAGCTTGTGATTAACATCAATATCAAAACTCTCTTTCATATGGCAGCTGTAATATAGAAACAAATTTATGAAAATGTGCAGCTTTCTTTTCAATTCACAGAAATTCCATAGTTGATCTAAAGGATCTAAAGTCATCTTTCCTAAGCATGACTCCTTATAATGAAATGCCATGTTGCTTTTTAAAGTGTTTTTTTTAAGATTCAGTTTCGAAGGGCTTTTTGGAAAAAGTCGGCAATGTCCTGACTGGCGTGTGGGAAAGCTCTACGCAGCAAAGGAGCACTTCTTATTCTGAGGAAGCTGCTTGCAGTGGCCATCCGGTAACTATCCCATGACATAGCCGAAGCAGATCTGACAGAGCAGTAAAATTTTGTGACTTGAGAGAGTATGATAATTTTTTTTTAAAGTTAAAAAGAGGCACATCAATTCAGGGAGTGGACATTACATGCTGGGAAAAAGGAGGGAGTACAAAAACAGAAGAAGAGGAGCAAAGAAAAATCTCGAGCAGCATCCCCAACTATCTGCTTTTTATAGTGGCTCTGTGGCCATCACAAAATAAGGAAAAGCTTGAACCCTTTTAATTAACATGTCACACAGAAGATGTTCAAACAATGCACTAAGTTATACACAATAGAGTCCTTTTCTTTTTTACCACAGTTACGCTGAAAATCTTGAAGATAAATTCCCCGCGGTTGAGAACCCCTGGTCTAAAAGATCAGTATAAAAGAAATGTTCCACATTTGCACAATCATCTTTTGATTTCATTAGCATTCTATTGTGAAGGTGTACAGCCTGCAACCTATATATTAGAAAATATTGTGAAAATAGTCAAAGAACCTCCACAAGAAATCCTGCCCGGACCTGAATGGAGAAAGGAAACCCAGTGTGTGGGCGAAAAAAACCCACTGTTTGTGATTATCTAAACATTTCCTGGATAAGAAATCTAAATTTGAAAAATACAATTGACCTACCTTGATAAGGATGACGTCAAAGGGCCATAGAAGAAACAAAACATTAGACATAAAAACCATTTATCACTTTCCTTCCTTCAATGCAGAGAAAATACTTCTCACTGTAAGATTCCAAATATGAAATTCCTAAATTTTCTCTAACAATATAGATACTATGTATAAATTTCTGTCACTTATGCGACTTCATTTAGACATCAGATAAAATTGGAAAAAATATTGCTGCATTTCATTGACCAAATTACTGATTCAAACCTAGTAAATAAATATAAGTTTCTCACTTGTCGACAACTCCAAGAGCTCCCGCCTTTTTCAACTTCTGTATGTGTTTATATTTATTCTCCGAGTGCCGAACTGGCCGGTGGAGTTCAGCAGACTTGGCACCTAGAGAGAAACGATGCCGCACATTTTGTACTCAATAAATTTGCTTTACAGTTTCAGTTAAAGACAAATTACTACCAATATTAAGACTTCACAATCAGTTTCTGCTAAAATGCTACATATATACACTTATTGTTGTATTCATATCAGCAGAAAACGTCCTTATCTTCCCTCCAATTTTCTTCTGTATGTTACTCTCTAGTAACACTTCTTATGTGACATATTTGTGTTGCAAGTTCAGTAAGCACTTATCAAAACTAAACTAAGCACAAAACAAGATTGATGCACAAAGAAGGCCGCTGCTTTGTAAGTGTTGCATAAAGTGCAATCAGATCAGAATAACTTCCAAATTTTCAATTCAGGACTGAATTGTGCAATTCAAGATGATTAAAACCTTTTGGAAATTTATAATTCCTTGAAATTAAATTAGATGTTTAATCTTAAAAGACTCATTAGTGCAACTAGTCAAAACGTGTCCATGAAATTTATGTATATGAGGTCCGAATAAAAAAGAAAAGGAAACAGTTGGCAACAAAAAACATATCCAGGTAGTGCAGAATGAAGTAGAACACTATGATATAAACTTGCCTTTCAGACGGGAAGACACTCAGGCAAAGGCTTGGCACCCCAAAGATTCCAACATCTACTTTGCCCCTGGAGGCCCAGTGAGGAAGGACAGTGGTGGCCCAGCGTAATTAGCAATTACACTCACTATGATATCCTCCATCTACTGCGATGTTTAAAATACACAAGTCCAACCACTTTTCATTTAATTCTATCATTCATTAACATACTTTGCAGTCACAAGGCCAGCAGTACAAAATACCCCATCTGGTCATCCAGCCAGGAGAGTGACTGCAACGAACTTCGCGGAACGGCGCCAGGTGACCGGAACGGATAATTTTCACCATCGCATTATTGCGTCAAATGACTGCAAAGTGTTAAAGCAGCAAAGAAATGTTGTGCTCACCTAGACTGTATTCCTCTTCTTCTGTGAGTTGGTTGTGGTCCCCGCCTGAAGGAGTAACCTCTGCAGACTGAACTTTATGGAGTCCCTCACGTTTCTTGGCAAGATCCATCATACTAGCAGTGGTGTTCCAGTCATCAGAGCTGGCGCTGATCTGCTCAAACCCATCATGCACTTCTTCGCTTAAGTTGAGCTCTGAAGGGGGAGGAAAAAAGTTATGCTTTAGGACACAATGGCAAAATATCACTGACAAATAATTCATAAATGATTGATATACAGAGGTACAAGAAAATTGTCTTCAAGTAGAATATGGATAGACAAGCCAAGACAATGCTTAACCACAATATTACGACAAAGACGGAAAAGACGCAAAGTGTAGTGTTTCTAAATCATATACTCATTGTGTTTTCAATCAGGTAATAATCTTTTTCATAAAGAAACACTGCTAACTTGTAAGACAATCACAACATTGAATAAAAGGAAAACCTACAAAACCCTATTCTTGTTAAGACATAATATATCATAATTATTCATAGGCATTGGTTAGTAGGTGATGACAGACCAAATTCTAAAGCAAATACAATTCAAACCTAAGTCTGCCATTTTTGCTGTATTTTTGGCATCCATCATCATTCTGAGGAAGCTCAAAATATGTTGTGTTCCCTTGTCGATGATCTCCTGTGGAGGAAAGTCCAGGGGGTTGCCAGCAATATTCAGGCCATGCAAACTCTTCACTAGACCTGGAGAAAGAATACAAGACTAAAAATGAGTCAGCAAAATTTAATCAAAGTAACAAGTATGTGTTCTCAATAGTTTCTTTTCTTAATTTTCAAAATGTATCTTTTTTGTACACTACTTTTGTGGGCAGGGAGAGAGAATCCAAACAGTTTTTCAGAGCCACCATAGTAAATAAAATAATTTGAAATAAAATTTCATCTTATGGACTGAGTTATATATAAATTCTAAAAACAAAGTACATTATTATTTTTCGTATGGAAACCCACAATTCCCTTCAAGCAATAATATAGCAAAGAAAAAGAAATATAACAGCCAAAGCTTACAAAAGTTACAGAACCATTAAAAGATAAATAGACAGTATATCCTTTAAAATTACTCATAGAGCAAGCGTTTGAAATGATTTAAATACAGCTTCAGCATAGATATTTTATTAAATTGTTGGACAGTGCAGTCCACCTAGACTGAAGACGGTCAAAGAGTCTACATAACAAGAGGGTCCACTCCTCTCTTTGAGCCACTTAAAAAAGTGTCCTCAAAATTCGGTGGCGCCCTCTTCGCAAATGCGAACAGAGTTACCTTACTCGTGTTAAAAAAATCAAAGTGAAACTAACAAGTTTTTGAATAAATAAGAATTCAAATTTCGGAAGAATGCTTTTTTAAAATGGTTACGCAGACAAAAAACCTCTTCCGGAGGAAGGGGCGACTGTTTTCTTCATTTAATTTGACTTTAGAATGAGAGGCGAGAGGTCATAAAAATTTTTAAAAAACTAAAACTCCGCATTGAATGAACCCGAACTACTGATCAACAGCGGTAGATCTGCACACGCAAGGAGGTGCTATTCCTATTCTTCTTCTGGAGAAATGAAAAAGAGCTTCAAAACAGATTGCAGCGCCATCTGAAGCAAAGAGTGGACTTCCGGCGAACACTTTTTTGGCTGAGTGGACCATCTTGTTAGGTACTGTCTTTGATACGGTAAAACAAAAAAACTGGGGAACCGAAAGAAAAAAGAATTCAATTCCTACTTTCGTTCTTCTTCTGTCTTTGCAAAAAAACTATCAGGTAGCCGAAATGCTCTCATTTCTAAACCAAACAGAATGAGAATTTTGACTATTATATCGTCTAAATCTACACTAGTTATCTTATACTAAGACAAATCATTCAATATTATGCGCTTCAAAACAGGAAAACAGAAATAAGAGACATGAGAATGCACATGTGTTGATTGCAGGCCAGAAAGAGGCATAACCTGGGTACTGTTTTCATACATTTACACCACACGTCAATATATATACATCGACATTGTGTGTAGGCCTTGTGACGCAAGGATAGTGGATGTACGTTTGTTCCACGACCTTGGTTGGCCATTTATATGGTAATTTATCTCAATGCAATAACAGTGATCATAACATACACGTTGTAGTTACATACCCAACTCCAGTGGCAGATTACGCAGGTTATTGCCTTCTAGCAGGAGGTTACGAAGACAGGCATGGTTTGACAGGAATATGGAAGGAATCCGTGACAACTGATTGTTCCTCAAGTCCAACCATCTCAAGCGAGAAAAAAACTTGAAAAACTCATCTGGTAGAAATGCGATGTCGTTTCCTTCCAAGTACATATACTGAGGGAAAAAAGTGTATGGCAACAATTTGAAATTAGACTCCACATCCATGTACAAATGAATGCAGAGTTTTCTAAGTTTGATAACTCAAGCCTGTGTTATATTGCACAAAATCTAGTTTTGCCTAAATTATATATCTGTAGGGTTTCTAAAACGAGCGACCACCTCAACAAACACAATAAAGAAAAGACCTAACCCTAACCCGAACCCTACCCCTGTTTCTTCTCTGTTTCATAGTGGTCGCTCGTTATGGAAGTCCTCCCTATCTATCTATCTATATATAAAGTTGAAGATGGAATCGCAAGGGAGCCAGAAATAAAATATCGTCTTAGACAGGGGAATTTAGTGGGGAGATGGAGGTGGGGGAGGGTTCAAAGGCCCCGCCGGTGGGATCAAGGGTAGCTTATCCGGTCCGCAAGCAATCACAAGTGGTCAAAAACTTCACACCTCTCAGCTGCTATCCTCTCTGATAATGACATTCGTCGATCTTATTTATCCAATTACCACCAGTGCTTGCATTTTATAGGACCACTGTTTGACCTATTAAAAACAGAAACGTTTGAACATCTCCTTTGCTTCCATCCTTAGCCCCAGCCATCAGTGTCATAAAATCCGTCAACCAATGCCATCCCTCAGTGCCATGCCATGCAACAACGATTCGAGGAACTCTTTTCTCGGCTGGCTGTACGATCAGGGCGGCAGGCATTGGTCAAACTAATTTCACACCTCTGGCCTCCGGCTACACCAATGAAATTGTCCGTGCTGGAGGACCACTCCAGCACTTTCACTGGCACTCGTGAGATTTCACACCCACACCATCCTGACCATCTTCATCGCTCAGGACTCACATGAATGGGGTAGCATCTACCTTCAAATTCCCCCTTCCTCCCCCGGCAGCATAGCCTTAAGTTTACAGCTGCCAGAGGATGGAACCAAGCTCCGAGTTTTGTTTTAAATCAGGACTGAACGGGCAAAACATTTTCCGTCTTAGATAGGTAAAACCCTCGGAAGGGAGCGGATTTTTCTTTCCGTTTCTGCATTGGACAGGTTTCCGTTTTATACAGGTAATTAAAGAAGAATATATCAAGGGGGGAGCAGGTAGATTCCGTTAAGACAGGTTTCCGTTTTTCACAAGTTTCCGTTAAGGCAGGTTTGACTGTATATATATATATATATATATATATATATAATATAAACTGTGGGATAGAAGTTCTGATCTGTCTTTGTGTGACTCTTGTCTTGAAAACTCAAATATGTAACATTGCATTGGAAATTAAGAAAGCAGAAATTGAAAAGGAACTAATCGTGGCAGAGGATGGATAACTGAATACTGTAGCTTTAATGAGAAGACAATTAAAAATTGTAATTACATATTTTACGGGCCCAGTGTTATACTGGATATCCTTTGATTTGAGTTGGGCTCAGTTCCATCTGTCAGGATTAAATTGCAAATTCCCATAGTGCAGAGCTTACTTTCTTGATATAGGCCCTATTATGGTCATGTCGTATGTGCTGCATTAGGAAAAAAAAATACAGAGCTTTTATAGTCTAAGCAAGATCATTTTTAGTACCAGCTGTTCCCAGTGAGTTCATATATATCTGATTTCCATCTACTCTCTTTAATAGAAGTTTTATAACTTCAACTGATTGCTGAGTTCATGCCGTGAAATTGCTTTTTTAAGATGAAAATGCTAATTTGTTTTCAACAAAACTTGCTGCAATAAATCATTGACCAGGCCTACGACTCATCAAAATTAAATATAAAAAATGTTAGGCGACTGTTTGACAGAACATTAGACAAAGATGAATGCATTTTGCGTCACGATGCGGTGGAATCAGGTGCTCATCATTTTTGGACAAGTGGAGTTTTTGGTATCATATTCTAAAGCTTGTTATTTGTCCTGCTTTTGATGAAAAAAATACTCATTTATCATAAATATAGAAGTTGAGATGTTTGCGACTGAAGGAGGTGGAGGGGCTCGCCTGGTTTCAGAGGTAAAATTAGCGAGAAATTAGCGGCCAAAGTTCGGTGACTTCTAAAGTTTGACAGTCCTTAGAAACTGCAAATTAAAATTTGTGTGCCTTAAATTAATTTTTTTTGGTAAAATCCACATAGATCTAGATTAGATCATGTCGTGTTTCTAAATGGACCTTGCAGGTTCAGTCAAAAAACAAAAATTCGATAAAGATTTCCAAACAGCCAGGTAAATTTCCTGGATTTCATTATTTTAACGAGCGTCCGATTTCACCACGATGCCTAACATATGTTGACCTTACAATACAAAAGATTCCATGCTTCCTTAAACTTAAACAAAATATTGGCAGTACGTATATTATAATTTCAATAAAACCATCCTCAGATTATGCAAAGTCTGCCAAAGTGTTTCCTCAAAATAAAAAAAAGGAGATCTAGAATCTAGATCTAGATCTAGATTTAGAGGTAGACGTAGAATCTAGATCTCTAGATCCTAATGATAAAAAATCAATCTTTTATCTTACCTCAATGTGAGACAATTCAAGAAGCTCATCGGGTAAAGTTTGAAGATTTTTTTGACTGAGATCAAGAGATGTGGACTTCATAACTTTAGTATTTGCAATGAGTTGAAGAATCATTTCTTCTTCCCGCTTTGTCTTTGCAAAAGGAACGTCAGCTGGCGTTTCGCCGTCATCAGAACCGGCACCAGTGCCATTCATCAGTGGATAAAGCTCAGCATCATCCACATCACTCGCTTCTCTGCTCAGGTTAAAATTAGATTCTAAAGTAGCATCCTCAGTTTCTCCCTCGGGGTCCCCTACCCCAACAGTTTCTGCTGCCATTATTCTGAAATCAGAACATAATAGGCTAGGGAATTGTAGTTTCGATGTTTCTTGTATCACAGGTCTGGGTGTTCTGGGGCCTAGTCACAATTCGCCATTTTGAAACCAGCGTTCGCCGCCATGCAAGTTGAGACAATCGCTATGACGACTTTGTCATGTGATGTAAACTTCCGGCATGTGGTCTTGCCCAAAATAGCTTGAACCCTCTTGCTTGTTTATCCTGGTCACATGACTTTCGCGATTGCTAAATCGATGCCGTCCGTGAGCAGTGTTGGTGTGGCCTTCTCGGTGCGGGCGATGCGGTGCGCTTCTCACTGCCGTGCGTAAGATGAGCAGCGGGCAACGGCACAGAAGTGTATTGGCAGTCCGTACGTACAGATCTAGTCTAGATCTAGATGTAGCAGTTCCTTAGCACACACGCAAGCTCGGTTGTTATGTCAATAGTACGCCAATGGTTCACTGATTTTCACATTCAGGGCATGAGTATTCTGCAAGGATTACCCGCGCCAGCTCACCTTTTCTTGTGTTGTTGTTTTGATGCACTTATAGTGTGAACTGTTCTTGTATTAAATGCCAGCTGTGCCGAAAGTAAGTCAGTTTTCCCATAATATACAAACGTTAAAAATCAAAACAGAAATTTATAATTAGACATCATAAGAAGATAAAATAATGGAATAACACTACCCGAGAAGGCGGACCGGTCTCCACGATTAGCCAGCTCAAGAGTGTCTCGTCTTTGTAAACATTTTAGTATTATCTTTATAAATGTGGATAATATGAAGGCAATCACAGGGCACCCAGAACCCATGAAGCACCTATCAATAGTTCTTGTTTCTGCTATCCAGGTGACGCTCTCTTTGTTGCTTGTAATTGCCAATACTTCTCGCGAACGAATCGTAAACGGCATGGACTTGTAGAGCAGCGAACCAGGCTTTTGTTTAAATAAGATAAACAGGCCAACAAACGGACATCTACCAGGGACTTGACAAAAAAAAAGTAACTGATTGATGATTGTTTCAGCGCTATATTCACGACGGAAAGGTCTATATTACCTTTTGAGATCTTAAATTTAAAAAAGCAAAACAAAAACAAACAAACAAAAACCCCGACACCTACGACAGCAGTAAAACCATTTACTTATGTGAGAAAAAGAACGATAGAAAATTAAAGTCTAACAAACAATTGTGTTCAGAATTATTAAGTTCTCCGTTTACCGGAGGGTAAAAATAAAATATCATGTAAAGATACTGATTACTGTAATTTTGAATGAGGTGTGAAAAGTAAACGATTTTGAGAGGAAAAATAGTATCTCTTTCCAAATAGGCCTTTTGACCATCACATCTTAGTAATATTTCTATAATTTCGTTATTATCGATCAAAAAGAATGATGTGGCGTACCGGTTGTGAATAATTGCGCC